TTTCGGGTGATAAAAGTAAGGAGATTGGATCAGGGGGAAGAAAGACGGGACAGATGGAAACACACAGAAGTGGGCTGACCTAAAGCTGACATCGCTGACACCATAGAATCTAAATATATGAAAAATACACAAGCTGAGGTCACCTCCATCGAAAACCTTGCATCAAAGTGATCCTTAGATCCAGAGATATAGGCAGCAGATATTGTGCCAAAATATCAACATGTTCTGGCCAATCCCATCATACCTTTGGGCTCCTCCCATCTTTTCCTACTGCCTTTATGTGATGGGTGGGGTTATCTCTAACAGGAAAATGGCGGCATCTGGACATAGCTTAGGCCACCCATAACTCAGGATCTGCTTGTCATTTTGATGCACAATTTTCGGCAAGCATGACCTCTGTTCAGGCACATGTTCATCCGGAGCCAAGTTTCGAATTCCCAAATTTGTGACAGGTTCACTTTAAACACTTACCATCCGGCGCATGTACATAAACAGCCAGATGGGAGCAGTGCAGGAGCGGGTGGCTGTTTATAAACATCCTCCCGCTTCCCTGCCTGTGCGCTCTCCCTGGGAGCGCGCGGCACCATGATCAGGTGCCCGCTATGTCCGGAGGACACAGCAGAACACCGATCGCTGTACGGGACCTCAGTGTGAGGTGCCAATCATGTGATCACTGATTGGCCAATCAGTGATCACATGCATAGTAGTAAGCAAGATGTCACTTCTGACATCATTGCTTACTACATGTGAAATTTGTGAATGATCACAGAGATCACATAGTACAGGGCCATTCACAACAGCATTGTACCATGTGACAAGCTGTGACCAATCACAGCTCTCACAGTATTTCTCAATGGCTGCAAGAATGCAGCCAGAGAGAAGGAGAAATGATTGCTTTTACAGCCTTTATGGGTGTAAAAGCAATCAGTGTAAAAAAAAAATCTTCATCACCCCCCACAAGTAGTACAGTATGAAAAAAAAAACCCATAAATAATAATCTAAAAAAATAAAATAAAAATTTAAAACTTTTTTTGAAAAATTATAATTTTTGGTTATAAACTAATTTGGGTTTTTTTTTTCCACCAGATTTTAGTTAGGGGGATCAGAGTGAAGGAGGCTGAATACAAATGCCGCCACACTTTTCACAGATTTATTTGTCAAAAATGTTGAAAACCATTTCTCATTTTCCTCCACTTCAAAATTATGTGTCACTTTGTGCTGGTCCATCACATCCAATCCCGATAAATAACATTGATGGTTTTTGGTTGTCACATGACAACATGGGGGACATTTCAAGGGGTGTGAAGACTTTTTCAAGGCGTTGTATGTAAAAGTGGGGCAATCAAAATGGATTTCAGTCATTGTCATGCGTTAGCTACCATTTTATTCTCAGGCTACTCGACATAGCAGTCTGTGGCAGACTTGGAGCTGAACGATCTCTGGGTGTCAGGGGCCGCAGGCTATACATATAATAGATGTCAGGGGCCGCAGGCTATACATAAAATAGATGCCAGGGGCCGCAGGCTATGCATAAAATGGGTGTCAGGGGCCGCAGGCTATGCATAAAATGGGTGTCAGGGGCCGCAGGCTATGTGTAAAATGGGTGTCAGGGGCCACAGTCTATGCATAAAATGGAGAAGGGACACAGGCCATGCATAAAATGGGTGTCAGGGGCTGCAGGCTATGCATAAAATGGGTGTCAGGGGCCGCAGGCTATACATAAACTGGGTGTCAGGGGCCGCAGGCTATACATAAACTGGGTGTTAGGGGCCACAGGCTGTGTGTAAAATGGGTGTCAGGGGCCACAGGCTATACATAGAATGGGTGTCAAGGGGAGTCATGATGCCCATCCCATGCACAGCCTGTGCACCTGACGCCCTTTAGCTTCTTCCCACCCTGCATGCTCCCGCCACATTTACCTGCGCCCCACAGAAAGGACCTGGCAGTCGGGAGTTTTCTGATCACATGACTGCCGTGACAGCCAATCACGGTAGTCACCTGACCCTAAACCCCACCTCCTGGCGTCACAAACCCCTTAAAGGGCCAGAAGGCGCCAAGGTAGATCGTTTAAAAAAAAAAAAAAAAAAACAACCTCCACCAGCCGCGTGAACATGGAACTTGAGCTTTAATTAGGCATTGGGAAGGGGCGGAACCTTGGTCTGGTTGTTCGTGTCCCCGGTGAGGAAATCGACCTTGTCTTCCTTTCTTGGAGTCACCTGGTATTAAAAGGAAGTTGAAAAAAGTTTCACCGGGAGATTCTTGGGTGCGTTTTTCACTCACTGCCTGCAAGTATCCCAAATCACGCCAAAAACATCGCTGAAAACCTGCCCCACCCCCTCTGCTGCCCATTCACAGAAGCCTTTGTATTTGGTGAATGAGTACAAAGGCTTCTGTGACTGGGCAGGAGAGGAAGGGTACGTATAGCAGCTGCACCGACCAGTGCTGAAGATGCCTAAATAGCCATCATCCAGGAGTCCAAGAATAATGTCAATAATTGAGACAAGCTCAGGAGATGTCATGCACCTCCTTAGACCGAACTCTTCATGTGCCTTCACTTTTTACAATGGAATTCAACTTTAAGACATTATCTCCCACTTAAAGCGGAGTTCCATCCAAAAGGGGAAGTTCCGCTTTAAGGATTGGCACCATTGGGGAGATGTAAAATGCCACAGTAGCTAGTCCTGGAGTACTTATGGTATGGCCATGGGCTTCAATCACACCCCACTCATGGTACGTTCATGGGCTTCAATCACACCCCACTCATGGTACTGCCATGGGCTTCAATCACACCTGACGTATGCTACGTCCATGGGCTTCAATCACTCCCCACTTATGGTATGTTCATGGGCTTCAATTACACCCCATGTATGGTACAGCCATGGGCTTCAATCACACCCCACTCATGGTACAGCCATGGGCTTCAATCAAACCCGACGTATGGTACGGCCATGGGCTTCAATCACACCCCACTTATGGTACGTTCATGGGCTTCAATTACACCCCATGTATGGTGCAGCCATGGGCTTCACTCACACCTCACTCATGGTACATCCATGGGCTTCACTCACACCTCACTCATGGTATGTCCATGGGCTTCACTCACACCTCACTAATGGTACGTCCATGGGCTTCACTCACACCTCACTCATGGTACAGCCATGGGCTTCAAACACACCCAACGCATTGTACAGCCATGGGCTTCAATCACACCTCACTCATGGTATGTCCATAGGCTTCAATCACACCATATGTATGGTACAGCCATGGGCTTCAATCGCACCCCACTTATGCTACAGCCATGGGCTTCAATCGCACCCCACTTATGCTACAGCCATGGGCTTCAATCGCACCCCACTTATGCTACAGCCATGGGCTTCAATCACACCTCACTCATGGTATGGCCATGGGCTTCAATCACACCTCACTCATGGTACGTCCATGGGCTTCAATCACACCTCACTCATGGTACATCCATGGGCTTTAATCACACCCAACGCATGGTACAGCCATGGGCTTCAATCACACCTCACTCATGGTACGTCCATAGGCTTCAGTCACACCCCACTTATGGTACAGCCATGGGCTTCAATCACACCTCACTCATGGTATGGCCATGGGCTTCAATCACACCTCATGCATGGTATGGCCATGGGCTTCAATCACACCCCACTCATGGTACAGCCATGGGCTTCAATCACACCTCATGCATGGTACGGTCATTGAATCACAGCCAACTCATGGTATGGTCATGGACTTCAATCACACCCCACTCATGGTATGTCCATGGGCTTCAATCACACCTCACTCATGGTACAGCCATGGGCTTCAATTACACCTCACTCATGGTACAGCCATGGGCTTCAATCACACCTTACTCATGGTACGTCCTTGGACTTAAATCACACCCCACTTATGGTATAGCCATGCGCTTCAATCACACCCCACTTATGGTATGACCACGGGCTTCAATCACACCCCACTTTTGGTATGACCACGGGCTTTAATCACACCCCACTTATGGCATGACCATGGGCTTCAATCACACCCCACTCATGGAACAGCCATGGGCTTCAACCACACCTCACTCATGGTACGTCCATGGGCATCAATCACACCCCACTCATGGTACAGCCATGAGCTTCAATCACACTCCACTCATGGTATGGCCATGGGCTTCAACCGCACCCCACTTATTGTACAGCCATGGGCTTCAATCACACCCAACTAATGGTATGGCCATGGGCTTCAATCACACCCCTCTTATGGTATGGCCATGGGCTTCAATCACACCCCTCTTATGGTATGGCCATGGGCTTCAATCACACCCCTCTTATGGTATGGCCATGGGCTTCAACCACACCTCACTCATGGTACATCCATGGGCTTCAATCACACCCCACTCATGGTACAGCCATGAGCTTCAATCACACCCCACTCATGGTATGGCCATGGGCTTCAATTGCACCCCACTTATGGTACAGCCATGGGCTTCAATAACACCTCACTCATGGTACATCCATGGGTTTCAATCACACCTCACTCATGGTACGTCCATGTTCTTCATTCACACCCCACATATGGTATGGCCATGGGCTTCAATCACACCCCACTCATGGTACGTCCGTGGGCTTCAATCACACCTCACTCATGGTACGTCCATGGGCTTCAATCACACCCCACTCATGGTACAGCCATGAGCTTCAATCACACCCCACTCATGGTATGGTCATGAGCTTCAATCACACCCCACTTATGGTATGGCCATGGGCTTCAATCACACCTCATTTATGGTACATCTATGGGCTTTAATCACACCTCATTCAAGGTATGTGTATGGGCTTCAATCACACCCGACCTATGGTACAGCCATGGGCTTTAATCAAACCTCACTCATGGTAAGTCCATGGACTTTAATCACACCCCACTCATGGTATGGCCATAGGCTTCAATCGCACCCTAGACAAATAGTCTTTGGTCTCCATGACTCCATGTGAACAAAGTTACAGTCTTTTGGCCTCATGAAGCTTCCTATGAGCCACGAGGACCGAATTGCTGACGAACCCTTTTCTGCATTGTGTACAGATAAAAGGTTTCTCTCCCGTGTGAGATCTCTGGTGAATAATCACCTTAGAGTTGCTTGTGAAGCCCTTGCCACACACCGGGCAGGCAAAGAGTTTCTCCCCGGTATGTACTTTATGGTGGGCGGTGAGGCTTCCCTTGGTGGTGAAGCTCTTTTTGCAGATGGTGCAAGCGTGCGGCTTTTCACCCTTGTGGTTTTTCTGGTGGACGGACAGTTGTGAGTTCTGAGCGAAACACTTCCCGCACTCATGGCAGACAAAGGGCTTTTCCCCTGTGTGGATCCGCCGGTGGGACACCAGGTCGGAACCCTGAGTGAAACCCTTCCCACAGTCCGTGCAGATAAAAAGTTTTTCCCCGGTGTGAATCCTCCGGTGTGTCACCAGGCTGCCCTTCTTGGCGAAACATTTCCCGCAGTCATTGCACACGAAGGGCTTCTCCCCGGAGTGGCTTCGGCAATGAATGATGAGCAGGGCGTTGCACATAAACCGCTTCCCGCACTCGGGGCAGGCATGGGGCTTGTCTCCGGTGTGGTTCTTCAGGTGCTTAGCCAGATGGGAGTTACTGGCGAAACGTTTCCCGCACTCTTTGCATTCGAATGGACGTTCCCCAGAGTGAATCCTCATGTGCTCCTGGAGGATAGCGTTTCTGGCAAAGGCCTTCCCGCATTCCCGGCAGATGAAAGGCTTCTCGCCCGTGTGAATCCGCTGGTGAATAACCAACAGGCCATTGCTGATGAAGCGCTTGCCGCAGTGCGAACAGACGTGCGGCTTCTCGTCACGGTGGTACTTGATGTGCTTGACCAGCTGGGAGTTGGTGGTGAACTGTTTTCCGCACTCCACGCACGCGTAAGGCTTCTCCCCGGTGTGAATGCGCGTGTGCTCGATCAGGATGGTGTTGCGGGTGAACCCTTTGCCGCACACGTCGCACACGTATGGCTTCTGGCCCGAGTGTAGCCGCTCGTGTCGGATGCGTTGCCCATTGCTGATGAACCTCTGCCCACACTCGGAACAAGAGTAAGGTTTCTCCCCCGTGTGCAGCCGCATGTGTTCCACCAAGATTGTGTTACGGGTGAAACCCTTCCCGCACTCGGTGCAAACAAAGGGCTTCTCCCCCGTGTGAGTCCTGTGGTGGGCGCAGAGTTGGGCCCTGGTGGCAAAGCCATCCCCGCACTGGCTACATAGGAAGGTGTTTTTGGCGGCGTTGCGCCGAGTCTTGTCCAAGTTGCCGAAAAAGCTGCCCTGCATTGGGTTGTGAATAAGCCTCTCCTCATTGGGGGGCATGCGTTTAGCAGGCGGGCTTTCACCAATGGCAGCAATACTGGGAGAGCCTTGGCCACGCCCCATGCTAGGAGAGTCTGATGCTTTCACATTTTGGGGCAAACTGTCTGTTGAAAAACAAATTAAAAAATTCCTCATCAAAACTTTGTACATTTACTTCAATTTGTAACAACATATATATATATATATATTTGTTTTACATTTTAACCTATTTATTATTACATATTAATTTATTTCTGATTATTTTTATTTGTGTAATAATTTTATATTTATTTATTCATATATTCCATTTTTTTAACATCTTTTCGTTTGAGCTGAAAATTATTTATTTATTATTACATATTAATTTATTTCTGATGATTTTTATTTGTGTAATTAGTTTACATTTATTTATTCATATATTACATTTTTTCTTTTAACATCTTTTTGTTTGAGCTGAAAATTATTTAATATTACATATTAATTTATTCTGATTTTTGTGTAATTATTTTACATTTATTTATTCATATATTAAATTTTTTTCTTTTAACATCTTTTCATTTGAGCTGAAAATTATTTATTTATTTATTTATTATTACATATTAATTTATTTCTGATGATTTTATATTTGTGTAATAATTTTATATTTATTTATTCATATATTCCATTTTTTTAACATCTTTTCATTTGAGCTGAAAATTTAGCAAAAATGAACGACATACTGTGCAAAAACGTGCGTTTCCATTCATTCCTATAGGAACAAAAACACAACGAAAACGAGCAAATCTGCCCAATTTGAGCTACAAAAAAAATAAAAAAAATAATAATAAACACCCGAATACAAATTACATTATTATATTATATTATTCATAATGCATTTTTGTTCAGGTTTTTATTATTTTATTATTATTAATATTAATAATAATAGAAATTAGGTTTTTTTCTTTTTTTAGGGTTATTATTTATTACATATTAATTTATGATTTTTATTTGTGTAATTATTTTACATTTATTTATTCATATATTAAATTTATTTTTTTTAACATCTTTTAATTTGAGCTGAAAATTGAGCAAAAATACGCTACATATTGTGCAAAAATTTGCATTTCCATTCATCTCTATAGGAACAAAAACACACCACAAAACGAGCAAATCTGCCCAATTTGAGCTACAAAAAAAAAATAATAATAAACACCCGAATACAATTTACATTTTATTATATTATCCATAATGTATTTTTTGTTCCGGTTTTTATTTATTTTATTATTATTATTATTATTATTAATAATAAGAATTTTTTTTTCTTTTTTTAGGGTTGGGGGTTAATTATTATTACATATTCATTTATGATGATTTTGATTTATTTTTGTAATTATTTTACATTTATTTATTCATATATTATTACTTTTTTTTTAACATCTTTTCATTTGAGCTGAAAATTGAGCAAAAATGCATGACATACTGTGCAAAAAAGTGTGTTTCCATTCATTTCTATCAGAACAAAAACACGCCGAAAACGAGCAAATCTGCCCAATTTGAGCTGCCAAAAAAATTAAATAAAAATAATAATAAACACCCGAATACAGATTACATTATTATATTATTCATAATGCATTTTTGTTCAGGTTTTTATTCATTATTTTATTATTATTATTAATAAAAATAAGAAGAAGAAGAAGAAGAAGAATTCGTTTTTTTTTTTATTTTTTTAGGGTTGGGGGTTAAGGTTGAGGGTTAATTATTATTTATTAATACATATTAATTTATGATTTTTATTTGTGTAATTATTTTACATTTATTCATTCATATATTAAATTTATTTTTTTTCACATCTTTTCATTTGAGCTGAAATTGAGCAAAAATACGCGACATATTGTGCAAAAATGTGTGTTTCCATTCATTTCTATAGGAACAAAAACACACCAAAAAACTAGCAAATCTGCCCGATTTAAGCTACAAAAAAAAAAAAAAAAATAATAAACACCCAAATACAAATTTACATTATTTTATTATATTATCCATAATGTATTTTTTGTTCGGGTTATTTATTATTATTATTAAGATTTTCTTTTTCTTTTTTTAGGGTTGGGGGTTAATTATTATTACATATTCATTTATAATGATTTTGATTTATTTTTGTAATTATTTTACATTTATTTATTCATATATTATTACTTTTGTTTAACATCTTTTCATTTGAGCTGAATTGAGCAAAAATGCATGACATACTGTGCAAAAACGTGTGTTTCCATTCATTTCTATCGGAACAAAAACACGCCGAAAACGAGCAAATCTGCCCAATTTGATCTGCAAGAAAAATAAAAAAAAAAATAATAATAAACACCCGAATACAAATTACATTATTTTATTATATTATTCATAATGCATTTTTTGTTCAGGTTTTATTCATTATTTTTATTATTATTATTATTATTATTATTATTATTGAGAAGAATTAGGTTTTTTTTCCTTTTTTAGGGTTGGGGGGTTAAGGTTGAGGGTTAACTATTATTTATTATTACATATTAATTTATGATTTTTATTTATTTGTGTAATTTATTTTACATTTATTTACTCATATATTAAATTTACATTTTTTTAACATCTTTTTTATTTGAGCTGAAAATTGAGCAAAAATGCACGACATACTGTGCAAAAACGTGCGTTTCCATTCGTTTCTATAGGAACAAAAACACGCCGAAAACAAGCAAATCTGCCAATTGGAGCTACAAAAAAAAATAATAAACACCCGAATACAAATTGCATTATTTTATTTTTCATAATGCATTTTTTCTTCAGGTTTTATTCATTATTTTATTATTATTATAATTAATAATAAGAATTTATTTTTTTTAGGGTTGGGGGTTAATTATTATTACATATTAATTTATGATGATTTTGATTTATTTGTGTAATTATTTTACATTTATTTATTCATATATTAAATTTTTTTTTAATATCTTTTCAGTTGAGCTGAAAATTGAGGAAAAATGCACGACATACTGTGCAAAAACGTGTGTTTCCATTCATTTCTATAGGAACAAAAACACGCCGAAAACGAGCATATTTTATTTATTTTTATTTATGATGATTTTTATTTATTTTTTGTTAAGATGATTTTTATTTATTTTTATTTATGATGATTTTTTATTTATTTTGCTCCTCAAGCGTTTTCGGAGCTACAGAACGCTGAGGTGTGAACGGGGCCTGAAGTGGAATCGCTCACCTGGACCTGTTCCGGCTTCTTCCAGTGTGGCCTCGTCTTCTGCCTGCGTGGAGACGTCCACCTCTAGGATGGTCATTTCTTTCTCCTAAAATCCAAAGAAAAAAAAAAAAAAAAAACAAAAACCTGACTAATAAATCGGACATTTCAGATGACCAATGCATACTAATGGCAGGAGAACGATCGTCAGCGTGATAGGAGAACGAATGTAAAACGATTCATTTTCCTTGAATGGATTTCAGTTGTTACTGATCTCGGAGGATGGAAGGTGTGAAGATGTGGGGGACGGTGCCGGGATTGGGGGGCTACATGACCAACACAACACGTATGTCTGACCATCACGCCTGCGCTGTATGTGGCCCTCAGCAGAGCTCACAGAAGGCGTGGTGGTCAGGAGTCCATACAGCACATGTGATCTCCCACCTCGCAGCCTGCAGGGTCGTCCTCTTCCTCCTCCTTGCAGCCTGCAGGGTCATCCTCCTCCTCCCCCTTGCAGCCTGCAGGGTCGTCGTCGTCCTCCTCCTTGCAGCCTGCAGAGTCGTCCTCCTCCTTGCAGCCTCTGGCAGACGTGGGACGCGGACAGTTCTCAGGAGAAGCGAAGTCTCCGGACTCATCTGTGCAAGAAGAGTGAAGGATGAAGAGCGCCACCTATTGTCTGTACAGATCTCCTACAATAAGGGCAGGTAACCCCATAGAGGTGGAGAGATCCTTTCAAACTGGGGGTTCCATCATACTGCTCCCCAATATAGAGCCTCCGTTATACTGCACCCCATTATAGAGCCTCCATTATACTGCTTCCCAATATAAAGTCTCCATTATACTGCTCCCCATTACAGAGCCTCCATTATACTGCACCCCATTACAGAGCCTCCATTATACTGCTCCCCATCATACAGCCTCCATTATACTGCTCCCCATTATACTGCACCCCATCATACAGCCTCCATTATACTGCACCCCATTATACAGCCTCCATCATACTGCTCCCCATTATAGAGCCTCCATCATACTGCTCCCCATTATAGAGCCTCCATCATACTGCTCCCCATTATAGAGCCTCCATTATACTGCACCCCATTATACAGCTTCCATTATACTGCACCCCATTATAGAGCCTCCATTATACTGCTCCCCATTATAGAGCCTCCATTATAATGCACCCCATTATAGAGCCTCCATTATACTGCTCCCCATTATAGAACCTCCATTATACTGCACCCCATTATAGAGCATCCATTATACTGCTCCCCATTATAGAGCCTCCATTATACTGCACCCCATTATAGAGCCTCCATTATACTGCTCCCTATTATAGAGCCTCCATTATACTGTACCCCATTATAGAGCCTCCATTATACTGCTCCCCATTATAGAACCTCCATTATACTGCTCCCCATTATAGAGCCTCCATCATACTGCTCCCCAATATACAGCCTCTATTATATTGCTCTCCAATATAGAGCCTCCATTATACTGCTCCCCAATATAGAGCCTCCATTATACTGCTCCCCAATATAGAGCCTCCATTATACTGCACACCATTATAGAACCTCCATTATACTGCTCCCCAATATAGAGCCTCCATCTTTCTGCTCCCCATTACAGAGCCTCCATTTTACTGCACCCCATTATAGAGCCTCCATTATACCGCTTGCCTTGTCCCAACCACCCCCCTGCCAGTGCCACCATCATGTCCCTCCTCAGAAGATCTTTCCCTTCTTCCTATCCTGCTGTGCTGGTCCCCGCAATCCTCCCGTTGCACCCCCTTCACCTTACATAGACGTGCCTAGAATGACTAGAAGAGGAGGATGGTGGGAACCAGGTAGCTGCGTCTCAGTGCCACTTCCCTGCGCCGCTTTGTTCACGGGAAGGGGGAGAGCACCTCTGACAAAGGGTCAGCCCGGCCGGGATGTGGTCCATCCCTCATGCGTTGCTGACCCCCTGCCCTCCACATCCAGGTCGGGGTCTCCCGACAGATTTCACTGCACTCGGCCTCACTACACCGACTAGAGGCTGAAGGACGAATTGCGTCTTGTGTGGCGGCTTTTTATCGACTTCCCTCACCTTCACTGACGTCCTCTACCTTCACCTTGAGAAAGACTTCTTCTGTGTCGTCTCTGAGGTCATCCGACTCCTCCCACTAAAATGACACAAAAAACAAATCAACAATTTCCAGCATACAGCCCCCGCCCAGAAGTCCCGAGAATCACACAAATATGACATTTTCACAAAGTCTTCCAATTCGAGGTTTTTAGAGGTTACTTTGGTAAACTTGCAGTTCCTGACGATCCGACAAATGGTTGATTTAAGGTGCGATCTCAGTAGCAGCAATGTCCTCCCCTACGAATCCCTGTGTAAAGCAATGATGACTGCATGTGTTTCCTTGCTGGTAACCATGGTTAACCGAGGAAAAACAATGATTTCAAGTACTGTTGAGTCCGCGGAGAGCGGATATAGTGAATGCGAGGTCCGGGGAGAGCGGATATAGTGAATGCAGGGTCCGGGGAGAGCGGATATAGCGATTGCAGGGTCCGAGGAGAGAGGATATAGCGATTGAAGGGTCCAGGGAGAGCGGATATAGTGAATGCCGGGTCTGGGGAGAGCGGATATAGCGATTGCGGGGTCCGGGGGAGAGCGGATATAGCGATTGCGGGGTCCAGGGAGAGCGGATATAGCGATTGCGGGGTCTGGGGAGAGCGGGATATAGCGATTGCGGGGTCCAGGGAGAGCGAATATAGCGATTGCGGGGTCCGGGAAGAGCGGATATAGTGAATGCGGGGTCCGGGGGAGAGCGGATATAGTGAATGTGGGGTCCGGGGAGAGCGGATATAGTGAATGTGGGGTCGGGGAGAGCGGATATAGTGAAATGTGGGGGAGAGCGGATATAGTGAATGCGGGGTCCGGGGAGAGCGGATATAGTGAATGCAGGGTCCGGGAAGATCAGATATAGTGAATGCAGGGACCGGGGAGAGCGGATATAGTGAATGCAGGGTCCGGGGAGAGCGGATATAGTGAATGCGGGGTCTGGGGAGAGCGGATATAGTGAATGCAGGGTCCGGGGGAGAGCGGATATAGTGAATGCGGGGTCCGGGGAGATCGGATATAGTGAATGCGGGGTCCGGGGGAGAGCGGATATAATGAATGCAAAGTCCGGGGAGAGCGGATATAGTGAATGCGGGGTCCTGGGAGAGCGGATATAGTGAATGCGGGGTCCGGGGAGATCAGATATAGTGAATGCAGGGTCCGGGGAGAGCGGATATAGTGAATGCGGGGTCCGGGGAGAGCGGATATAGTGAATGCAGGGTCCGGGGAGATCAGATATAGTGAATGCGGGGTCCAGGGAGAGCGGATATAGCGATTGCGGGGTCCGGGGAGAGCGGATATAGCGATTGCAGGGTCCAGGGAGAGCGAATATAGCGATTGCGGGGTCCGGGAAGAGCGGATATAGTGAATGCGGGGTCCGGGGAGAGCGGATATAGTGAATGTGGGGTCCGGGGAGAGCGGATATAGTGAATGTGGGGTCCGGGGAGAGCGGATATAGTGAATGTGGGGTCCGGGGAGAGCGGATATAGTGAATGCGGGGTCCGGGGAGAGCGGATATAGTGAATGCAGGGTCCGGGAAGATCAGATATAGTGAATGCAGGGACCGGGGAGAGCGGATATAGGGAATGCAGGGTCAGGGGAGATCGGATATAGTGAATGCGGGGTCCGGGAAGATCAGATATAGTGAATGCGGGGTCCGGGGGGGAGAGCGGATATAGGGAATGCAGGGTCAGGGGAGATCGGATATAGTGAATGCGGGGTCCGGGGAGAGGGATATAGTGAATGCAGGGTCCGGGGAGAGCGGATATAGTGAATGCGGGGTCTGGGGAGAGCGGATATAGTGAATGCAGGGTCCGGGGAGAGCGGATATAGTGAATGCGGGGTCCGGGGAGATCGGATATAGTGAATGCGGGGTCCGGGGAGAGCGGATATAATGAATGCAAAGTCCGGGGAGAGCGGATATAGTGAATGCGGGGTCCTGGGAGAGCGGATATAGTGAATGCGGGGTCCGGGGAGATCAGATATAGTGAATGCAGGGTCCGGGGAGAGCGGATATAGTGAATGCGGGGTCCGGGGAGAGCGGATATAGTGAATGCAGGGTCCGGGGAGATCAGATATAGTGAATGCGAGGTCCGGGGAGAGCGGATATAGTGAATGCGAGGTCCGGGGAGAGCGGATATAGTGAATGCAGGGTCCGGGGAGAGCGGATATAGTGAATGCAGGGTCCGGGGAGAGCGCATATAGTGAATGCCGGGTCTGGGGAGAGCGGATATAGTGAATGCGGGGTCCGGGAAGAGCGGATATAGTGAATGCGGGGTCCGGGGAGAGCGGATATAGTAAATGTGGGGTCCGGGGAGAGCGGATATAGTGAATGTGGGGTCCTGGGAGAGCGGATATAGTGAATGCGGGGTCCGGGGAGAGCGGATATAGTGAATGCAGGGTCCGGGAAGATCAGATATAGTGAATGCAGGGACCGGGGAGAGCGGATATAGTGAATGCGGGGTCCGGGGAGAGCGGATATAGGGAATGCAGGGTCAGGGGAGATCGGATATAGTGAATGCGGGGTCCGGGGAGAGCGGATATAGTGAATGCAGGGTCCAGGGAGAGCGGATATAGTGAATGCGGGGTCTGGGGAGAGCGGATATAGTGAATGCAGGGTCCGGGGAGAGCGGATATAGTGAATGCGGGGTCCGGGGAGATCGGATATAGTGAATGCGGGGTCCGGGGAGAGCGGTTATAATGAATGCAAAGTCCGGGGAGAGCGGATATAATGAATGCGGGGTCCTGGGGAGAGCGGATATAGTGAATGCGGGGTCCGGGGGAGAGCGGATATAGTGAATGCAGGGTCCGGGGAGATCAGATATAGTGAATGCAGGGTCCGGGGAGAGCGGATATAGTGAATGCGGGGTCCGGGGAGAGCGGATATAGTGAATGCAGGGTCCGGGGAGATCAGATATAGTGAATGCAGGGACCGGGGAGAGCGGATATAGTGAATGCGGGGTCCGGGGAGAGCGGATATAGTGAATGCAGGGTCAGGGGGAGAGCGGATATAGTGAATGCAGGGTCCAGGGAGAGCGGATATAGTGAATGCGGGGTCTGGGGAGAGCAGATATAGTGAATGCAGGGTCCAGGGAGAGCGGATATACTGAATGCGGGGTCCGGGGAGAGCGGATATGGAGAATTTTTTTCCCCATGTATGAGAGGAATGTCAGAGTTGGCCAGACTGGAACTAGTTAAGTTCCCACCCAACATGTTGGAAAGTTCTGATGTTTTAGCCATGATTCAATCACTTTCAATGACTGTCATTGGAGGATGCTCTTGAAGCAGGCCTGGGAAGAATCCTACAATGTATCTATCTGTAGACTTACCTCGTCATGCTCTGGGCTGCCATAGTCATCCTCCTCCTCTTTAACGTGACCGGACTCTTCACTCCACGGACATCTCTCCGGGGTATTACTGTTACTGGATCCATCTGCAGGAACCACACACACTGAACTGAATACATTGTTTCTCAGAGCAAATACTACATTTTTCTCTGCATTTACCGGCAATATTTTCAGTTGGCGACAGGGTCTCTTTAAGAGATTTACTCATAAATGAGTACAAATGACTATCTTACATACACTATATTGCCCGCAGTATTGGGCCGCCGGCCTTTCCACACGCATGACCTTTAATGGCCTCCCTGTCTTACTCCGTAAGGTTCAATATTGAGTTGGCCCCGCCCTTTGCAGCTATAACAGCTTCAACTCTTCTGGGAAGGCCGTCCACAAGGTTTAGGACGGTGTCTATGGGAAGGGTGGACCATTCTTCCAGAAGCACATTTGTGAGGTCAGGCACTGATGTCGGGGGAGGAGGCCTGGCTCATAGTCTCCGCTCTAATTCATCCCAAAGGTGTTCTATGGGGTTGAGGTCAGGACTCCGTGCAGGCCAGTCAAGTTCCTCCACCCCAAATTGGCTCCTCCATGTCTTTATGGACCTTGCTTTGTGCACTGGTGTTCAGTCATGTTGGAACAGGAAGGGGCCATCCCCAAACACTTCCCACAAAGTTGGGAGCATGAAATTGTCCAACATGTCGCCTTGAGAGTTCCCTTCAATGGAACTAGGGGCCAAGCCCGACACCTGAAAAAACAACCCCACACCATAAACCCCCCTCCACAGAACACGTCTCCACTGCTCTAGAGTCCAGTGGCGGCATACTTTACACCACGGCATCCAACGCTTTGTATTGCACTTGATAATGTAAGGCTTGGATGCAGCTGCTCGGCCATGGAAACTCATTCCATGAAGCTCTCTACACACTGTTGTTGGGCTCATCTGAAGGCCACACCAAGTTTGGAGGTCTTTAGCTATTGACTCTACAGACAGTTGGCGACTTCTGCGCACTGTGCGCTTCTGACCCTGCCCTGTCATGTGATGTGGCCTACCACTTGGCGGCTGAGTTGCTGTTGTTCCCAGTTGCTTCCACTTTGTTATAATCCCACTAACAGTTGAGCGTGGAATATTTAGTAACCAGGAAATATCACGGATGGACTTATTGCACAGGTGGCCACCTATCACGGGACCACGCTTGGAGTCACTGAGCTCCTGAGAGCGACCCATTCTTTCACCAATGTTTGTAGAAGCAGTCTGCATACCTAGGGGCTTGATTGTATACAACTGTGTCCATGGAGGGGGTTGGAACACTGGAATCACATGATTTGGAGGGCGGGGACAATACTTTTGGAAAAATATAGTGTATGTATAGACCACCATAGATATCATTACATAGGATTGAACATTGAAGCTGTGACGGGTTCTCTTACAGGGTATCAAATATCCACAAAAAAGGGACAACAAAGATTCCTTACCTGAAGATCTGCTTGGCCGGAATGTTTCCAGCTTGAAGCCATGATGGAGTTTGTTATCCAGCGCTATACAGTCTGTATCCTGTGTAAAGACAGTGACACCGTGACACCTTATAGGAACCTGACACACACAATGACACCATCACCATCCAGACACATCCCTTGTCTGTTACTGGAGAATGTCCCAGAATACCCGGCACCACTCACCTCTCCTGTCAGCAGATCAATGATCTTCTGGGTGACATCTAGGATCTTCTTGTGGTTCCTCTCTGGTGTCAGGGAGGGAGGTGGAGGGTCCATGATGGAGCTACAGGTTCTGTTTTCTAAATCAGACACACAAGGCTGGCTTTGGGGTGTCACATGATCACCCGATTCCTTCTTTATGGGTCCATAATCCTAGGAAGGTAGACAAGGTGCATGATTACAAAATGTCATGTGACCTCCCAGAATCCTCCTCACCTCTCCGGACCGGTCTCTGTTTTATTAATAGAGATGAGAGTGATGTCATGTGACCTCCCAGAATCCTCCCCACCTCTCCGGTCTGTGTTTTATTAAAAGAGATGAGAGTGATGTCATGTGACCTCCCAGAATCCTCACCTTTCCAGTCAGGTCTATGTTTTATTAATAGAGATGAGAGTGATGTCATGTGACCTCCCAGAATTCTCCTCACCTCTCTGGTCTGTGTTTTATTAATAGAGATGAGAGTGATGTCATGTGACCTCCCAGAATCCTCCTCACCTCTCTGGTAAGGTCTGTTTTATTAATAGAGATAAGAGTGATGTCATGTGACCTCCCAGAATCCTCCTCACCTCTCCGGTCAGGTCTGTGTTTTATTAATAGAGATGAGAGTGATGTCACGTGACCTCCCAGAATCCTCCTCACCTCTCTGGTAAGGTCTGTTTTATTAATAGAGATAAGAGTGATGTCATGTGACCTCCCAGAATCCTCCTCACCTCTCCGGTCAGCAGGTAGATGATCTCTAAGGCCAAGTTTATTATTTTTTCGGTCATTTGACTCCAGCTCTTCTCCATGTTGTGTTTGGAGGGGTCCCGATGGTGTAGAGAGGTACTGGGGGCCGATCTGTGGAAAGAGTTGGTGAAGAACGATTTTATCTCTCAGAAGACACGCAATCATTAATCACACCGCCATTTTAACCCCACCAGGGATCCAGTCAATCACAGAGGACGCTCACACCGAAAGGATGAAAATGATAAGCCAGATTGCTTCCCAAACAGGGACGGGGGCAGGGATGGCTTTGGCTTCTGCAATTGGTCAGCCCTGCAGGAGGCCTTGATGGTGACCACCATTCTTCTTCCAGGATTCCCTGATAATGAATTACCCCTCCCCCCCAAAGATCTCTCCACACCCAGGAGGGGAAGAGTGCAGCCTTGACCTGTGCTCTCCACCAATGGTAAAAGTCTTTGAAGAAAAAGGGTGTGGCGCCTACTATTGATTGGCTGGACACTGAGGCCAATACTCAGGTAGAGTCCCCTGGAGAGGGGGTCAACTAATGCAGGCATTTGATTGGTCTGCAGTTTTGGGTGATACTCTGAAAGGGGAGTGGTCAATTAACGTGTGTCGGGGGAAGTGCCTTCCCCTTTCATCAGGGCTGCAGTAGTGGGTGTGGTTGGGACAGAGAACCGGTTCTCCTTCATTTGACAGCATCCAAAGGGCTTTTACTTTATTTTACCCTCGGTTCCAGGTCGGCTCCGACCACACCCACCGCTCCACCCCTGATGAAGGGGGAGGAGCTTCCCCGAAACACGTTGGCTCTACTCATCACCTGTGAATTTCAATAAACATTTTTCATTATAACATCAAGTGTTACGACCTTCCATACCGAGAGCACCTCTTCACCCATCTGAATCTCTGGAGGGGGTGTGGTCAACTGACCCTGGCTTCTGATTGGTCTGAAACTGCAGCCAAGACTCAGTGAAAGCCCTCGGGGGTGTGACCAACTGGCACTGGCTTTTAATTGGTCTCCAGCTGTGGCTGATACTCAGCAACAGCCCACTGGAGGGGTTGTGACCAACTGACCCTGGCTGCTGATTGGTCTTAAGCTGTGGCCAAAAGTTTGGGGTGTTGTTCTTCGATCAACTAATTCTGGCTTCTGATTGGTCTGGAGCATTGGGCAATACCCAGCAAGAGCCCTAGATAAGGTGTGGCCGATGCTGGCTTTTGATTGGTGTGCAATTGCAGCCAATAATACAAACAAACCCTCTAGGAGGGGGGGGGGGTGACCAGCTGACCCTGGGATCTGATTGGTCTGCAGCTGCAGCCCTAAACAGGGGTGTAACCAACTAATGCGGCTTCTGTTTGGGCTGCAGCTGTGGTCAATACTGTGAGAGCCCTCTGGAGGGGGTGTAACCAACTGACCCCAGCTTCTGATTCGTCTGATACTGCAGCCAAAGCTCAGTGAAAGCCCTCGGGGGTGTGACCAACTGGCACTGGCTTTTCATTGGATTGCAGCTGTGGCTGATACTCAGTAAAAGCTCTGGAGGGTGTGACCAACTAACGCTGGATTCTGATTGGTCTGGTGTGACCATCCAATGGTGGCTCCTGGTTGGTCCACAGCTGCAACTTCCTCAGGGGAGGGGGTTGTGCTCCTCCACTAAAGTCTGTTCCACACCTCCACAGGCAGCCTGGGCCCCGCCAGTAACTGAGCCCAGCACCCAGCGCTGCAAGACACATACCAACCCAGCCAATCACTGCTCTCACATCTCTGGTGGGGGGCCCAACCCTTCAGGGGCCTCTCTGACCTGCAGGTCACAAGCAGCTCTCTGATTGGCTGCAGCCAGGCCCAGGACACAGCTGTATGGAGATAATGCAGTGATGGGGGAGTTGTGACGTCACCCACCGTCCCTCCCGGGGCCCGCACCTTCCTTCCGCCTCCCCCATCGCTCCGCTGTCCTCTCTGTTCCTACACCGAGACACCGGAGCATGCCGGGAGAGGCATCCCACCGGGGACCGCTCCGTCCGCACTGAGCATGCGCCAAGTGCTTCGCTCTATACTCTGAGCCAGCCCGGGACCTGTAGCTTCCCTGTTACCGCGGCAACGCCTGGGGAAGTCGCTGCCACCATCTTTGTTTAGGGAGTGAGGTGCCAGTAATGTGACTACACTACTACTATTACAATACTACTACTACTACACACTCCTTCTACTACACTACTACTATTACACTACTACTACTACTACACTCCTTCTACTACACTACTACTATTACACTACTACTACACTCCTTCTACTACACTACTACTATTACACTACTACTACTACTACACTCCTTCTACTACACTACTACTATTACACTACTACTACACTCCTTCTACTGCTACAAACACTACTACTACTACTATTACACTACTTCTATTACTACTACTACTGCTATTACACTACTACTACACTACTTCTATTATTACTACTGCTACTACACTACTACTATTACAATACTACTGCACTACTTCTGCTACACTACTGCTATTACAATACTACTACACTACTTCTACTGCTACTACACTACTACTACAATACTACTATTACTACTATTACTACTACTACTACAACAATACTACTACTACTACTACTTACAATACTACTACTACTACTAATACTACTACACTACTTCTACCATTGCTACTGCTACTACACACTACTCTACTAACTACTACTACTACTACTACTACTATTACAATACTACTACTACACTACGTCTACCACTACTACACTACTTCTACTGCTACTACACTATTTTTACTACTACTACTACTACACTACTACTATTACCATACTACTACTACTACACTACTTCTACTACACTACTACTATTACACTACTACTACTACTACACTACATCTTCTACTACTACTACTACACTACTACTATTACAATACTACTACTACACTACTTCTACTACTACTTCTACTACACTACTTCTACTACTACCCTACTACTATTACAATACTACTACTACTACTACTACTACTACTACTACTACTACTTCTACTACTACACTACTTCTTCTACTACTACACTACTACTATTACAACTACTACTACTACTACACTACTTCTACTACTACTACACTACTTCTACTACTACTACACTACTACTATTACAATACTACACTACTACTACTACACTACTTCTACTACTACTACTACTACTACTACACTACTTCTACTACTACTACACTACTACTATTACAATACTACTACTACTACACTACTACTACTACTACTACTACTACTACTACTACTATTACAATACTACTACTACTACTACTACTACTACTACTTCTACTACTACACTACTTCTACTGCTACTACTACACTACTACTATTACAATACTACTACTACTACACTACTTCTACTACTACTACACTACTACTATTACAATACTACTACTACTACTACTACTTCTACTACTACACTACTACTATTACAATACTACTACTACTACACTACTTCTACACTACTACTATTGCAATACTACTACTACTACTACTACTACTTCTACTACTACTACACTACTACTATTACAATACTACTACTACTACACTACTTCTACTACTACTACTACTACACTACTTCTACTGCTACTGCTACACTACTACTATTACAATACAACTACTACTACTACACTACTTCTACACTACTTCTACTAAACTACTACTATTACAATACTACTACTACTAGTAATAATATTAGGAATCTTCTTCTTATGAATGCCAGTATTACTATTATGATGTGTCACATGACTGTCACCACACCTCCCCCACTGGCACCGCACCTCCCCCACTGGCGCCGCGCTCCCTAAACAAATATAATAACTAATAATAATAATGGTAATAATAAATTATTGCAGACCTGATAGTATTAGTTATATTCCTATATTAGTGATAACATTAGTACTAATAATAAGAGGATAATGGTTAAATCCAATAATAATCATAGCATATAACTACAATAACAACAACGACAGTGTCCAAAGTGTCCCCCCTGATGTCAGAGTTCCCCTTTATATCAGGGTCTGCAGTGCCCCCCTTATATCAGAGTTCCCCTTTATATCAGGGTCTGCAGTGCCCCCCTTATATCAGAGTTCCCCTTTACATCAGTGTCTGCAGTGCCCCCCTTATATTGTAGTTCCTTCTTTACATCACGGTTCGCAGAGGTCCCCTTATATTAGAGTTCCCCTTTACATCAGGATCTGCAGTGCCCCCCTTATATCAGAGTTCCTATTTACATCACAGTTCACAGTGCCCCCTTATATCAGAGTTCCCCTTTACATCAGGGTCTGAAGTGTCTCCCTTACATCAGAGTTCACCTTTACATCAGGGTTCAGAGAGGTCTCCCTTATATCAGAGTTCCCCTTTACATCAGGGTCTGCAGTGCCCCCCTTGCATCTGAGTTCCCCTTTACATCAGGGTCCACAGTGCTCCCCCTTATATTGGAGTTCCCCTTTACATTACTATCCGCAGAGTCCCCTTATATCAGAGTTCCCCTTTACATCACGATCCGCAGAGTCCCCCTTTACATCACGATCCGAAGCGTCCCCTTATATTGGAGTTCCCCTTTACATCACGATCCGCAGAGTCCCCCTTATATTGGAGTTCCCCTTTACATCGCGATCCGCAGAGCCCCCCTTTATTGGAGTTCCCCTTTACATCACGATCCGCAGAGTCTCCCTTGCATCAGAGTTCCCATTCATTAATAAAATGATAAAGTTTTTTTTAATCACCACTAGAGGCCAAAAGCTCCGAAACGCTCTGTCCCGCCCGCCCTTCTTCTCAGCGCACGGAAGACGGCGGCCATTTTTCCGGAGTCCTCCCTCCTCAGCCGCCAAGGCCGCCTTCACCATCATGGTTCCTGTATTAAGGACACAAAAGTGCGGCAGCTGATTGGACGGCTCTCCGCGATCAGCGAGGTTGGTGTGCACATGCGCAGAATGTTCTAATTGATTGGATGCGCCGCGCAGCTTGCATTTACCAGGTTCCCAGGCAGTCATGTAGCTTGAAGAGCCAGGGTGTCATAGGGGCCCCTGAGGGACACTAGTAAGGGCCTTGGGGGATGTAAGGCGTGGGGAAGTGGGGGCAGGGATGACTTAAAGGGACAGTCCACCCAAAAGTTATGTATAGGGGAGGTGAGGGGGGGATATAGCCATATGGTCACTTTGGAAATTTTATTTTCCATTTTTGGGGACGTCATAAGTTCTGAAAAGATCCATTTTTTCGGTTTGTATAGATAGCGAGTCGCGCTCTCAGATGCCTGACATTGCCGGTGATATCAATAATGGTTATAGCCAGGCCATTGGGTATCATGGTGAGGAACACGGATGGACTACAGTCATTGTCTTCTTTTTCAGATCGATACGTGACATCTCCACATCGCTCGAACTACTAGGGGCCGCGAATCAAAATGAAGCTCTCACGCCTCGATCTCAACGAAATGCTTGGCGTGGACCAGACGCGGAGTCACGTGATCGAGAGGATCATCAACCTCACCCTGGATATCCTCTATCTGCTGACCGGAGAGGTGAGAAGGATTCTGGGAGGTCACATGACGTCACTCCCATCTCTATTAATAAAACACAGACCTGACCGGAGAGGTGAGGAGGATTCTGGGAGGTCACATGACATCACTTGTCTCTATTGATAAAACACAGACCTGACCGGAGAGGTGAGGAGGATTCTGGGAGGTCACATGACGTCACTCTCATCTCTATTAATAAAACACAGACCTGACCGGAGAGGTGAGGAGGATTCTGGGAGGTCACATGACATCACTTGTCTCTATTGATAAAACACAGACCTGACCGGAGAGGTGAGGAGGATTCTGGGAGGTCACATGACATCACTCTCATCTCTATTGATAAAACACAGACCTGACCGGAGAGGTGACGAGGATTCTGGGAGGTCACATGACGTCACTCTCATCTCTATTAATAAAACACAGACCTGACCGGAGAGGTGAGGAGGATTCTGGGAGGTCACATGACATCACTTAGTCTCATTTATTCCTGTGTATAGGATTACCTAGTCCTGAAGATGTCCTGTGGTCGAGTCACACACAGTAGCAGTCCCTGTGTATCGGGAGGCTTCGCTCGGACCCAGCCCCCCGCCTCAAAGCTGACACCCGACAGCAACGACAAGAAGATCCTAGAAGTCACCCAGAAGATCATTGAGCTCCTGACAGGAGAGGTGAGCGGTGCCGGGAATTCTGGGACATTCTCCAGTAACAGACAAGGGATGTGTCTGGATGGTGACTGTATCATTGTGTGTGTCAGGTTCCTAGAAGGTGTCAGGTTCCTAGAAGGTGTCACCCGTCCATGTTTTGTCTTTTTCAGGAAGGCCGGAGGTCGCTCAGGGGGAAGAGTCGCAGGTCGAAGCCCGTCATCCAGGAAGATCGTGACGTCCCGAGCTCAGAAGGTGAGGGCTAATTTCTCATTTTATTGATGGCTGTATCATTAAATCCCGCCTCTCTCCACATGTGCATGGTCCTTGCCACCTTAGGAGGTTGTGTTGTGAGTGAGTTAGGTGTCCTTTATTGAAGGTGCAAACAAATGGCGATGATGTTCACATCTCCGTCTCTAGAGCCATCACACCAAACTCTCCGGCAACCCAACCTCCTAGCATCGCCATGGTAACGGGGTACTTAAAGGGCACCTAACCCTAGATTTTTAACATTTTCCATCATGACAACCTTTGAGCGTATTATTTCCGATCTCCATTTGTAAGCGACCATCCTCTGTGTGGCGCTCTTCTACCCATAATGCCTCTGATCTCCTCCAACAACTCTCCTCTGAGTGTTGCTCTTCTACCCATAATGCCTCTGATCTCCTCCAACGACTCTCCTCTGTGTGTCGCTCCTCTACCCATAATGCCGCTGATCTCCAATAACTCCCCTCTGTGTGGCGCTCTTCTACCCATAATGCCTCTGATCTCCAATAACTCCCCTCTGTGTGTCGCTCTTCTACCCATAATACCTCTGATCTCCAACGACTCTCCTCTGTGTGGCGCTCTTCTACCCATAATGACTGTGATCTCCTCCAACGACTCTCCTCTGTGTGGTGCTTTTCTACCCATAATGACTGTGATCTCCTCCAACAACTCACCTCTGTGTGTTGCTCTTCTACCCATAATGTCTCTGATCTCCTCCAATGACTCTCCTCTGTGTGTCGCTCTTCTACCCATAATGCCTCTGATCTCCTCCAACGACTCTCCTCTGCGTGTCGCTCTTCTACCCATAATGCCTCTGATCTCCTCCAACGACTCTCCTCTGCGTGGCGCTCTTCTACCCATAATGACTGTGATCTCCTCCAACGACTCTCCTCTGTGTGGCGCTCTTCTACCCATAATGCTTCTGATCTCCTCCAACACCCCCTCTACCCGCTTTCCTGGGGGTGTAATGACCCTCACAGTTCCATATGAAACTGTTGATTGCTCATAGTAGCTTCTCAGTCTGGCCCAGTAGTAAAATCTAACTGGAGGATCCTAGGGGGTGGAACAAAAACGTGGTGGGTGTGGCCTATGCACGCAAGGCCTGACAGCATAGAAATATGGAGCAGAGTAGGTGGTAGAAGTGACAGTTACCAGGGCGGCGGCGATACCGATACTTTGGACGCCAAAGTCAGTTCCCCCTAGTGTCCGAATGCCCGCCGCAGTCCCTCTATAAGTCGCTGATCGCCACCATTAATAGTATAAAAAAAAAAATAAAAATCCCAGTATCTATACCGCTATTTGTAGATGCTATAACTTTCCCGTAAACCAATTCATTTACACGTATTGGAATTTTTTTTTTTTTAGCAAAGACACGGAGCAGAATACATTTTTGGCCGAAATTTATGATGAAATTTGATTTTTTACATTTTGTTTTTTTTTGCTGCACGTGTTTAATAGCAAAAAGTAAAAAATACTGTGTTTTTTTTTTTTTTTTTTTTAAATTGTCATACCACAGAAAGAAAGCTCTATTTGTGGGAAAAAAAGACATAAATTTCATTTACAGTGCCTTGAAAAAGTCTTCACACCCCTCCAAATTTTCCACGTTCTGTCATGTTACAACCAAAAAAAATTTAAATGTATTTAATCGGGATTGGATGTGATAGACAGACACAAAGTGGCACATAATTGTGAAGTGGAAGGAAAATGACAAAATGGTTTTCAACATAAATTACAAATAAATCTGTGAGAAGTGTGGGGTGCATTTGTATTCAGCCCCCTTTATTCTGATCCCCCTAACTAAAATCTAGTGGAACCAATCGCCTTCAGAAGTCACCTAATTAGTAGATAGAGTCCCCCCATGTGTCGTGATCTCAGTATAAATACAGCTGTTCTGTGAAGCCCTCAGAGGTTTGTTAGAGAACATTAGTGAACAAACCACATCATGAAGGCCAAGGAACACACCAGACAGGTCAGGGATAAAGTTGTGGAGAAGTTTTAAAGCAGGGTTAGGTTATAAAAAAATATCCCAAGCTTTGACCATCTCACGGAGCACTGTTCAATCCATCATAATCCGAAAATTTAAAGAGTATGGCACAACTGCCAACCTACCAAGACATGGCCGTCCACGTAAACTGACAGGCCGGGCAAGGAGAGCATTCATCAGAGAAGCAGCCAAGAGGCCCATGGGAACTCTGGAGGAGCTGCAGAGATCCACAGCTCAGAGGGGAGAATCTGTCCACAGGACAACTATTAGTCGTGCACTCCAGAAATCTGGCCTTTATAGAAGAGTGACAAGAAGAAAGCCATTGTTGGAGGAAAGCCATAAGAAGTCCCGAGAAGCCATGCGGGGGACACAGCAAACATGTGGAAGAAGGGGCTCTGGTCAGATGAGACCAAAAATGAACTTGTTGGCCAAAAAGCAAAACGCTATGTGTGGTGGAGATGCTTTTCTTCAGCAGGGACAGGGAAGCTGGTCAGATTTGATGGGAAGATGGATGGAGCCAAATACAGGGCAATCTTAGAAGAAAACCTGTTAGAGTCTGCAAAAGACTTGAGACTGGGGCGGAGGTTCCCCTTCCAGCAGGACAACGACCCGAAACATCCAGCCAGAGCTACAATGGAATGGTTCCGATCAAAGCATCTTCATGTGTTAGAATGGCCCAGTCACAGTCCAGACCCAAATCCAATGCAGAATCTGTGGCCACACCTGAAAATTGCTGTTCCCAGACACTCTCCATCCAATCTGACAGAGCTTGAGCGATTCTGCAAAGAAGAATGGGCAGAAATGTCCCTCTCTAGATGTGCAAAGAGACATCCCTAAAAAAAACTTGCAGCTGGAATTTCAGCCAAAGGTGGTCCTACAAAGTATTGACCGCTGGGGTGCCAAATACAAATTCCGCCACACTGAAATTGCACACAGGTCGCGCCATTTTGAATCGCAGCGGTGGGACCGGTGACTTATATATATATATTTTTTTATATTTTTAAATTAAAATTTGTAACAATTTTTTTTTTTCCAGTTGCAGACATAAAAAAAAAAGCAGGAGTCCCTCATACTTAGCAATTGCGCAGCAGCCAACAGATGGTGCGCTTTCAATTTCTTACCTTTGTGCCAAGTCGTTTGTTCTTATTTTACTGCTATGCTGTGAAAAGACTGGGTAGTAAATGATCCTTTGTAGAAAGCAATAGAAAAATACGATGTAAAAGGTGACTTTGTATACTTCAAAAGCTCCTCCTTTTCTCGCCGATCCTGACTTTGAAATCATTCGACTTACAGTGAAGTTGCACGATTTCAAAGTTGGGTGAGATGCCGATTTGAGGTGCGATTTGTAAGAAGTCTGACACAGATGTCTATGTAAATCGCACCAAAAGTGGTGCTTGCGTAAATCGGTGCGGCTCCGACCAAGTGGGGACCATCAGGGGCAGACTGACAACTCATGGGGCCCCGGGCAAGGACACGGGGGCCCCATGATCCCCTATTGCCCGGGGGCCCCATGAGTTGTCAGTCTGCCCCTGCGCACCAATATTACCGCTGTAATTGCGGACAGTAGGGTACTGTAGGACAGTAGGGTACTGCGTACCATGCAATTTGCAAGTCGCATGGCACGCAAATCGCATGCCAAGTCGCACCCGGTGTGACTGGGGACTGATAGCTTGCCTCTAATATGGCCGTGTGTTTCCCACAGATGAATCCAGTAACAGAACGCCAGCGGTGTGAGACATCCCCGTCCTCTGTATTCCCGGGATCGGGAAGGAAAATTGAACACCAGGAAGTCGGTAAGAGGACCGGTGAGCCCGGCGATTCCGCATAGGCAGCGCATCTGGGGAAACTTTTTTTTTTTTTTTTTTTTTTTTAGGGCCAGTTCACACTTCATACATACATCAGCGCTCGCAGTTCCAGTGCGTTCCAGTTGCAGAAAAAAAAAGTAGAACAGGCTGCATTTTTCCTGCAGAGAATTGTTCTGGAACGCAGTAAAACGCACCAGAATGCATCAAAAACACACCAAAACGTACATGTCCCTATGTCAAAAAGAGAGGGGCAAAAAATGAACTGGGTTGTAGAAAAAAAAAAGTAGAGCGGGCTGCTGCCTTTTTTTTCTGTACAGAACTGTACTGGAATGTGGTAAAACGCATAAAAAAACGCACCAAGACTCATCAAAAATGCACCAAAAAGCGCTAGAACGCACATATCCATATTTAAATTGAAGGAAAAGAGAGGGGAAAAAAATGAACTGGAATGCATAAAAAAGCGCACTGGAATTTGTCAACAACACGAATGCGGAAACGCATCCGGAACGCATATGGACTGCGCTTATATAGTGTGAACCGACCCTTAGGGCCAGTTCACACTCCATGCGTTACAGTTGCTTTTTTTTTTCTGCATCCAAAATGCTCAGAAAGTAAGTGATATGGTGGTCAGTGTCATGGTTCACATGAGCGCTTGCAGTTCCGGTGCGTTCCGCTTGCAGGTAAAGAAAGTAGAACAGGTTGCATTTTTTCCTGCACAAAACTGTACTGGAAAGCAGTAAAACGCACCAAAAACTCTTCAAAACCGCACCAAAACACATAAAAACGCACTGGAACGCACATGTCCATATTTAAATTGAAGGAAAGAGAGGGGAAAAAATGAACTGGAATGCATAGAAAAAAGTAGAATAGGTGTAATTTTTTTCTGCACAGAACTGTACTGGAACGCGGTAAGGTGGGGGGGGGGAAATTAACTGGAATGCATAGAAAAACGCACTGGATCGTGTCAAAAACGCAAATACATAAACGCATCCGGAACACATCTGGACTGCGCTTCTATAGTGAGAACCGACCCTTAGGGCCAGTTCACACTCCATGCGTTTTTAGTTGCTTTTTTTTCTGCATCCAATACGCACAGATAGGTGATATGATGGTCAGTGTCATAGTTCACATCAGCGTTTGCAGTTTCGGTGCGTTCTGGTTGCAGAAAAAAAGTAGAACAGGCGTCATTTTTTTCTGCACAGAACTGTACTGGAACGCGGTAAAACGCATCAAAACCGCACCAAAACGCATCAAAACTGCACTGGTACGCACATGTCCCTATTTAAATTGAAGGAAAGGAGAGGGGAAAAAAATGAACTGGAATGCATAGAAAAAAAGTAGAACAGGCTGCATTTTTTCCTGCACAGAACTGTACTGCAAGGCGATAAAATGCATCAAAACGCATCAAAACCGCACTAGAATGCACATGTCCCTATTTCAATTAAAAGAAAACAGGGTGGGGGGGAATGAACTGGAATGCATAAAAAAAACGCAGCGGAACGTGTCAAAACTGCGAATGCAGAAACGCATCCAGAACGCATCTACGCATCTGGACTGTGTTTCTATAGGGCCAGTTCGCACTCCATGCGTTTCAGTTGCTTTTTTTTTTTTACTGCATCCAAAACGCACAGAAAGTAGGTGATATGGTGGTCAATGTCATAGTTCACATCAGCTCTTGCAGTTCCTGTGCGTTCTGGTTGCAGAAAAAAAAGTAGAACAGGCGTAATTTTTTTGTGCACAGAACTGTACTGGAACGCGGTAAAACGCATCAAAACCGCACTGGAACGCACATGTCCCTATTTAAATTGAAGGAAAAGAGGGGGGAAAAAAATGAACCGGAATGCATAAAAAGAACGCACTGGAACATGTCAAAACCGCAAATGCATAAGCACATCTGGACTGCGTTTCTATAGGGCCAGTTCACACTCCATGCGTTTCAGTTGCTTTTTTTTTCTGCATCCAAATCGCACAGAAAGTAGGTGATGTGGCGGTCAGTATTCACATCAGCGCTTGCAGTTCCGGTTGCAGAAAAAATAGAACAGGCGTCATTTTTTTTTCTGCACAGAACTGTACTGGAATGGGGTAAAGCGCATCAAAGCCGCACCAAATTGCATCAAAAATGCACTGGAATGCACATGTCCCTATTTCAATTGAAGGAAAAGAGGGGGGAAAAATGAACCGGAACGTGTCAAAACCGCGAATGCGGAAACGCATCCAGAACGCATCTGGACTGCGTTTCTGTAGTGTGAATTGACCCTTAAGCTCCAGCCTCCCCTTCAGTCTTGCACAGGTGTACAGGCTCCTCCCCTTCAGTCTTGCACAGGTGTACCGGCTCCTCCCCGTCAGTCTTGCACAGGTGTACCGGCTCCTCCCCTTCAGTTTTGCACAGGTGTACAGGCTCCTCCCCTTCAGTCTTGCACAGGTGTCCCGGCTCCTCCCCTTCAGTCTTGCACAGGTGTCCCGGCTCCTCCCCTTCACTCTTGCACAGGTGTCCCGGCTCCTCCCCTTCAGTTTTGCACAGGTGTACAGGCTCCTCCCCTTCAGTCTTGCACAGGTGTCCCGGCTCCTCCCCTTCAGTCTTGCACAGGTGTCCCGGCTCCTCCCCTTCACTCTTGCACAGGTGTCCCGGCTCCTCCCCTTCAGTCTTGCACAGGTGTACCGGCTCCTCCCCTTCAGTCTTGCACAGGTGTATCGGCTCCTCTCCTTCAGCCTTGCACAGGTGTACCGACTCCTCTACAGTCGCTCCATTGATTTCACCGCACACTGTGAGCCCATTACATTGTGTATTGGAATCTTCAGCAATTTAGACAGATGATGTTATGCTCTCCTTGGGGGCGGCAACTGTTATCCACCAATGTCTGATCATTAGGGGGGAGGGGCTTTCTGGATTTGTCCTGAGTCATGTATTCGCATGTTCGCCAAACCTGACTGCGATTGGTTTTTAGAAGAGTGTTATATTTCTTGTCATTGGTTTAGGAGAACACTGTGAGCTTCTGTATCAAGAAGGAGATGGATGCGGCCGAGTGGAAATCCAAGGCTAGGAGGAAAGGTGAGCGATGGATTTTCTTTTCCTTTGTCGAAGCGCAAGGGTGTCAAACTGGCGGCCCTCCAGCTGTTGCGAAACTACAAGTCCCATCATGCCTCTGCCTTTGGGAGTCATAGTAACTGTCAATCTTGCAATGCCTCATGGGACTTGTAGTTCTGCAGCAGCTGGAGGGCTGCCAGTTTGACACCCGTGGCTAAGGGGTTAAACAAAAAATAAAACACTTTCAGGGGTGAGGAGAAAACGGGAGCTGCTTTACATGACCGTGATTTTGCTCCGTTTAAGAGCGCCGCCTGTTTTCTCCGGCCCATAAAAATTGGAATTGTTCATTGTCATGGTATAGGGGCTCTGCCAATTATTAATTTCTGCTTTAATCCTCTCATTAATTCCTTGTGCCAAATGTTCCCAAATTTAAGTGCTGTATGTCTTCCGTGTCATCCGGCCAAATGGCCCAAATTCAATTAACGTATTTTCCTCCTCCCTGACACCCTGCTAAATGTTCCCAAATTCCATTAAAGTATTTCCTCCGCCAGGTCCTCTTGCCAGATGTCCCCAAAATTCCATTGTCATCTTGGCCCCCTCATGGTTATCCCCTGTATCCAGCAGCATTTCTCTCCTTGTTGCCAAATGACCCCCCTCCACCTCTCGTCCTGCCACGCAGGATTAGAGGTGCGGCTTTCACCACCCCTGCCACTATCTTCTCCTCCTCCTGCGGGGATGTTCTGTGCCGCGGTGTCAGACTGACGCCACCCCGGCCCTGTCATCTGCAGCGCGGGCACGGGACGTTCCCGCGTTTGCGGATGTACCTGGACAAAGGTCGCGCTCGCGAGAAGCTTTGGATCTACCTATATGCTGCCAGGTCTGTACGTCGTACTCATCTGACAGTGGAGGGGGGGAGTCGGTGGAATTTTACACACAATCCAGTGGCTGCGGCTGGGGATGTCTGACACCAAGTCGGTCCCCAAGCCCCCCCCCCCAGTGTCAGAATGCCCACCGCAGTCCCACTATATGTCGCTGATTGCTTCCATTGGCGGCTTCAGCTGTCGATCACCGGCTCCCGGCGATCGCCGAGTATCACTGACGGGGGAGAGGTCGGTATGTAAACAATACAGATCTCTCCCCTGTCAGCTCCAGCACACTGCTTTTTATGGCTCTGCCCTTCCTGCTCAGTGTCATTATTACAGTGTCAGTGCTTTTTATTAGCACTGATCACTGTATTGGTGTCACTGGGGATGTCAGTAACACCAAGTCAGTTCCCCCCTCCCCCCAGTGTCAGAATGCCCGCCTCAGTCCTACTATTAGTCGCTGATCGCCGCCATTACTAGTAGAAAAAAAATCCCAGTATCAATACCGCCATTTGTAAACGACAACTTTCACGTAAGCCAATGAATTTACATGTATTGGGATTTTTTTTAGCGAAGACACGGAGCAGAATACATTTTGGGCGAAATTTAATCGAAATTAGATTTTTTTTTTACATTTTTGTACTGGCAATGTTTAATAGCAAAAAGTCAAAAACATATTTTTTTTTACTCAAAATTGTCAGGTTTTTTTTTGTTTTGTTTATAGCGCAAAAATATAAAAAAAAAAATGCACAGGCGATCAAATACCACCGAAAAAAAAACTCTATTGGTAGGAAAAAAAGGACGTAAATTTAATTCGGGTGCGGTGTTGCATGACCGCACAATTGTCAGTTAAAGTAACGCAGCACTGTATCGCAAAAAAAAATGGCCTGGTCAGGAGGGGGGGGGGGGGGGGGGGGGGGGAGGGAATCCTCTGGAGGGCGAGGGGTTAGGGGAAAAAAAAAAAATCCTTACCAAAAAAAAACCTGACCTTTGACCTGAACACTAACCCTGGCACTGACCTCGATCAAAGCCGGATCTAGGTATTTTTATTTATTATATTTTTTTAAATTATTATTATTTTTATCTATTTATTTATAGATTTTTTTTAAAGCACAGGTTTTTTTTTTTTTTTTATCTCTCTCTCTCTTTCTGACACCCCAGTCAAATCATCCCGACTTTGTGCCTGGGTTCACATATATGTGGTGCAGCATATCACATGTGATTCGCACAGGAACCGCACCGCATTCCTGTGCAAATCACATGCAATTTGTGTGCGATGCGATCAGAGCCATACATTTCGTATGCCTCTAATCGCACCGCACCCCGCACCAAAAAAAACGTGCAGGACCCTTTTTTTTGGTCCGCACTAAAATCGTATCGCATGGGTATTTACACCTATGTGATCCGATTCTGCACATCGCACCACGTTTTCCTGACCGCTTTTGGGGTGTTGTTAACTTACGTACACACTCGCAGCAGTTCGCATGAACGGGGTGCCATTCTGATGCGGTTCGGAATTCGCAACTGAAAACACAGCGAATTCCGGATCTCATCAGTGTGAACCAGGGCTGAAATCGTGCGACTTCACTGATTTCAAAGTCGGGGAACATGCCGATTTCAGGTGCGAATTGCAAAACATCTGACACCAAGGTCTATGCAAATCGCACGGAAAGCAGAGTGTGCACTGCTTTAGAAATGGGTGGGGCTCCGACCAAGTCGGAATCGCACCAATATGACCGCTGTAATTTCCGACAGTAAGGTGCGACTTGGCATGCAAGTCGCATGGCATGCAAACCGCACCCGATGTGACCGGGGGCTGAACCGACAGGGAAAGATACAATGTATAATAGGATGTATATAATGATACAATGTATAATGGAATGTATATAATGGTACAATGTATAATGGAATGTATATAATGATACAATGTATAATGGAATGTATATAATGGTACAATGTATAATAGGATGTATATAATGATACAATGTATAATGGGGTGTATATAACGATACAATGTATAATGGAATGTGTATAATGATACAATGTATAAATGGATGTATATAACGATACAATGTATAATGGAATGTGTATAATGATACAATGTATAATAGGATGTATATAATGATACAATGTATAATGGAATGTATATAACGATACAATGTATGATTGAATGTATATAATGATACAATGTATAATGGAATGTCTATAATGATACAATGTATAATGGAATGTCTATAATGATAGAATGTATATAATGATACAATGTATAATGGAAATGTATATAACGATACAATGTATGATGGAATGTCTATACCGATACAATGTATGATGGAATGTCTATACCGATACAATGTATGATGGAATGTCTATAACGATACAATGTATAATGGAATGTCTATAACGATGGGATGTATATAATGATACAATGTATAATGGGATGTGTATAACGATACAATGTATAATGAATGTATATAAGGATACAATGTATAATAGAATGTATATTACGATACAATGATATCTCTCTCCTCCATTCAGAGCGAGAAAACACGGGGGCGTGCTTCACAGTGACTGATCACTGGGATAGCCAATCACAGTCTATCACAGCGATCATGTGATTGATTCCGGATCCTGATTGTTAGAACAGGACCCGGGGCTTCTCACTGACCCCCCTGTCGTTGTGCTGGGTTCGCTCCGCAGGTCCTGGGCCATCCCTGGCTGCACGTTTTTCTCTCCGTCATCTTCTCGTGTTTCTTACAGGACGGCCCCGGAGGACCAGGATGCTGGAGGCGGCTCCCCGGCCACAGTCCCCTCCGGACATGAAGGACATCCATGGAATCTCTGAGGACTTCCAGGTAGAGGACACTCAATAGACGTGTGTCATGCGTTCTGCATGCGACTGTTCATGGGGCATGGCTTAGTGCTCCAGTGACTCTTTTGTGCCCCCTAGACCTACCAGCCCCCTGAATCGTGACCTCTGACCCCTCCCCGTAGTTTTCATGCATGGGGGGGATGGGGCAGCACTGTTTCCTACGGATTGGCCATTCATTTCCTAGAGGCTGCAATAGGGGCGTTGTTCCCTACTTCTACTACCCACAATCCCCCTGGGGACAGAGTGCGGCCATAACCCTTTGTATATTCTGTATATGCATGTACCATACCGGTGGGATCTCTCTAGAAGATTGAAATCAGTGTAGTAGACAGTGCAATCAAGCAACTGATCAGCAGATTGTACAGCTATATTGCATTCTATTACAGTGTAACCAAGCAACTGATCAGCAGATTGCAGAGCTAAATTACAGTCTGTTACATTGTAATCAAGCAGCTGATCAGCAGATTGCACAGCTAAATTAAATTTTATTACAGTGTAATCAAGCAACTGATCAGCAGATTGCACAGCTATATTACATTCTATTACCGTGTAATCAAACAACTGCTCAGCAGATTGCAGAGCTAAATTAAATTATGTTACATTGTAATCAAGCAACTGTTCAAGAGATTGCACAGCCAAGTTACATTCTATTACATTAGTAATCAAACAACTGATCAGCAGATTGCAGAGCTAAATTACATTCTATTACAGTGCAATCAAGCAACTGATCAGCAGATTGTACAGCTATATTGCATTCTATTACAGTGTAATCAACCAACTGATCAGCAGATTGCACAGCTAAGTTACATTCTATTCCATTAGTAATCAAACAACTGATTAGCAGATTGCAGAGCGAAATTACATTCTATTACAGTGCAATCAAGCAACTGATCAGCAGATTGTACAGCTATATTGCATTCTATTACAGTGTAATCAAGCAACTGATCAGCGGATTGCAGATCTAAATTCCTTTCTGTTACATTGTAATCAAGCAGCTGATCAGCAGATTGCACAGCTAAATTACATTTTATTACAGTGTAATCAAGCAAATGATCAGCAGATTGCACAGCTATATTACATTCTATTACTGTGTAATCAAACAACTGCTCAGCAGATTACAGAGCTAAATTAAATTATGTTACATTGTAATCAAGCAACTGATCAACAGATTGCACAGCTAAACTACATTCTATTACATAGTAATCAAGCAACTGATCTGCCGGTTGCACAGCTGAAGTCTACAGCACCCAGTGGCCAGCAGGGAGGAGCAAGCACCTCTGAAGGAAACCCATTGTTTGGAATGGCCCCCGAGATTACAGGGGAATGACATTGTTTGTTTTAGGTGCAAATCGTGTTTATAGGGCACTTTTTTTTAACATGGATTTCTGTGTGGTTGTATGCAATTAGGACAAAGCCAGGGAGGTGATCACCACTGAGGACGACCAGCAGAATCAGCAAGTCACTAAAGATCGTCATACTGGTGAGTCCAGGGTACTGTATATAGAACAAAGGCTTGTATACATTGGTGCTGGTGTCATGAGCAAGCCTAGGGAAGGTGCAGGTCACGTTTTTGAGGCATCTGACGGGTCTGTAAGGTGTTTGAGGTTCTCAATCCGCAGTTTTAATGCAAAGAGAACAATGTACACAAGACCCGAGGACTGTTGGAATTTGGCACCGTAATGGAATTTTGGGGAAAAAAAAAATTTTCCACCCGCTGTAGATTTTGCGCTCGGCTCGAAGCTCAAAAAATGCTCAACAAGCAAAGAACTAATTGTTTTCAATAGCCCTCGTTCACACCTGTCACTTGTAAAAAAAATGCCTGTCGCTCAGAAAAGTACAAGAGCTGCTTTTCAGTGCAAAGTTGAGCATTTATGTCCCCATAGACTCCAATGGAAACGCCTAAAAAAGCGCAACATGAGCTTTTTTCGAGCGTTTTGAAGCCTTTTTTTTGTACGTTTTCTGCTCATACAGCAGCTCTCCGCCTCCTTTTGTTTTTTTTTTTTTTTAGCAGCAATCCAAACTCTTTTAGTTGAAAAACTCCTGACAAAATCTGTGAAGACGAAGTCTGTGAAGTTCAAAGATTCAAAGAAAAATGCTCAAATGCTTGAAAACTGTAACCTCAACACTGACCCTCCCCGTAACCTCGACACTGACCCTCCCCGTAACCCCGACACTGACCCTCCCCGTAACCCCGACACTGACCCCCCCCCCCCGTAACCCCGACACTGACCCCCCCCGTAACCTCAACACTGACCCCCCCCCCGTAACCTCGACACTGACCCTCCCCGTTACCCCGACACTGACCCCTCCCCGTAACCTCGACACTGACCCTCCCCGTAACCCCGACACTGACCCTGACCCCCCGTAACCCCGACACTGACCCCCCCCCGTAACCCCGACACTGACCCCCTCCGTAACCTCAACACTGACCCCCCCCCCCCCCGTAACCTCGACACTGACCCTCCCCGTTACCCCGACACTGACCCTCCCCGTAACCTCGACACTGACCCTCTCCGTAACCCCAACACTGACCCCCCCCCCCCGTAACCTCAACACTGACCCTCCCCAGAAATCCCAACACTGACCCTCCCCGTAACCCCAACACTGACCCTCCCTATAACTGCAATGCTAGCGGGAGAAGTTGAGCGTTTATGTCCCCATAGACTCCAATGGAAACGCCTAAAAAGCGCAACATGAGCTTTTTTCGAGCGTTTTGAAGCCTTTTTTTTGTGCGTTTTCTGCTCATACAGCAGCTCTCCGCCTCCTTTTGTTTTTTTTTTTTTTTTAGCAGCAATCCAAACTCTTTTAGTTGAAAAACTCCTGACAAAGTCTGTGAAGACCAAAGATTCAAAGAAAAATGCTCAAATGCTTGAAAACTGTAACCTCAACACTGATCCTCCCCGTAACCTCGACACTGACCCTCCCCGTTAACCCCGACACTGACCCTCCCCGTAACCCCAACACTGACCCTCCCCGTAACCCCGACACTGACCCCCCCCCGTAACCTCGACACTGACCCCCCCGTAAACCTCGACACTGACCCCCCCCCCCGTAACCTCGACACTGACCCTCCCCCCCCGTTACCCCGACACTGACCCTCCCCGTAACCTCGACACTGACCCTCTCCGTAACCCCAACACTGACCCCCCCCCCCGTAACCTCAACACTGACCCTCCCCAGAAATCCCAACACTGACCCTCCCCGTAACCCCAACACTGACCCTCCCTATAACTGCAATGCTAGCGGAGAAAGAAAGAAACTGTGGCAGAAAAAGTCCTATTGTAATCGCCATCTTTGTCCCCTCAAAGGGCGGAGCCAGGACAAGCCTGTGTCAGTGATCGAAGTGGGAGAGGACGAGGATGACCGCGAAAAAAATCTCCGACACATTAGTGACGGTCAGTATGACGTGTAGTACCTCTTTCTGAGCCAGTCATCGCTGCCCTTCCTGGATATCAGCCTAATGCCGGCCATACACGGGTCAAAATTTGACCGATTTTTCATCCGAAAAATCGGACCTAAGAATAATCGGCCGATTTTCTCTCTGTTAGTGGTTAATGGCACTGGCCGATTTTTGTGGTTCCTCCCCTTTCGGTGATCGGGCATGTTGGAAAATTCGTGAAAGACAACCGATTTTCGACTCAATGGTCAAATTGTACAATCATTTTTCCGAAAAGAATATGCGCATTGTTTTTATTTTTTGCGCTATAAACAAAAACATTTTGAGAAAAAAAAAATATTTTTGACTTTTTTGCAATAAAACATATGCAGTAAAAAACAAAAGTACATTTCGTCATAAATTTTTTTTTATTTTTGCGCTATAAACAAAAAAAATTGAGAAAAAAATTATTTTTGACTTTTTGGTATAAAACATCTAGGAAAAAAAATGTCATAAATGTAGGCCAGAATGTATTCTGTTCCGTGTCTTTGCTAAAGAAAAAATCCCAATACGGGGTAAATTAATTGCTTTACGTGAAAGTTATAGCGTCTTCAAATGGCGGTATAGGTTCTGGGATTTTTTTTGTAATTTTTTTTTTTTTAACCCCTCGCCCACAGGATTTCTCCCCCTTCCTGACCAGGCCATTTTTTGCAATACGTCTTTTAACTGACAATTGCGCGGTCATGCAACGCTGCACCCAAATGAAATTTACATCCTTTTTTTTCCCCCACAAATAGAGCTTTCTTTCGGTGGTATTTGATCGCCTGTGCGTTTTTTATTTTTTTATTTTTTGTGCTATAAACAAAAAAATTTTGAGAAAAAAAAATATATTTTTGACTTTTTGCTAAGAAACATATCCAGTAATAAAAAAAATGTAAAAATCTAATTTCGTCATAAATTTTTTTTATTTTTTGCGCTATAAGCAAAAAAATGTTGAGAAAAAAATATTTTTTGCCTTTTTGCTATAAAACATATCCAGTAAAGCTTTTTGCTTTAGAAAAAAAAAGTCCCTGAGCCTTTCCAAAAAAAAGCAGCTCAAAAAAGCCTAGATGTGAACGTGTCTCATAGGAAACCATGTTAGATGGACTGTACTGCGTTTCTGCAAAAAGCACAAAAAAAAAAAAAACGCACTGGTGTGAACGAGACTAATTTGTTATCCTTGCACCACAGGTAGAAGGTGGCGCCCCCCAAAGGAAGCAACATTATCTATTATCACAGAGGAGAAGGAGGACAGCGCAGAGAGCCCCAGGAAGGAGTCAGACTGGGAGTTTGATGAAGTGGGTAGTGACACCATCATTAACCCCTTCCAGTCCGGACACTTTCCCCCCCTTCCAGTCCGGACGCTTTCCCCCCCCCCTTCCAGTCCGAACGCTTTCCCCCCCCTTTCCAGTCCGGACACTTTTCCCCCCTTCAAATCCGGACGCTTTCCCCCCAGTCCGGACGCTTTCCCCTCCTTCCAGTCTGGACGCTTTCCCCCCCTTCCAGTCCGGAATCTTTCCCCCCCTTCCAGTCTGGACGCTTTCCCCCCCTTCCAATCCGGACACTTCCCCCCCCCCCCCCCCCCCCTTTCCAAGCCAATTTTCAGCTTTCAGCGCTATCACACTTTGAATGACAATTGCGCGGTCATGCGACACTGTACCCATTTTTTTTTAAGCATTTTTTTGAGACAGATAAATCTTTATTGTGGTGGTATTTATTCATTTATTCATCACTGGGATTTTTATTTATTTTTTTGCTATATAAATGAAAAAGTCCAAACATTTTGAAAAAAAAGTGTTTTTCTTATAAAATTTAGCAAATAAATAATCTTTCTTCATAAATCTTGGCCAAAATGTATTCAGCTATCTTTTTAGTAAAAAAAAAATAACTCAAATTAGTTTGTTAGTTTAAAAAAAAATTTTATTTTTTCTTTTTTTTTTTTTTTTTATATTATTTATTTATTTTTTTAATATACTGTCACCCTAGCAGTACAGTGTCACCATAGTGACACTGTACTACTTGTGGGAGGTGATGAAGATTTTTTTTACTTTACACTGATTGCTTTTACACCCATAAAGGCTGTAAAAGCAATCATTTCTCCTTCGCTCTGGCTGCATTCTAGCAGCCATTGAGAAATACTGTGTGAGCTGTGATTGGTCGCAGCTTGTCACATGGTACAAAGCTGTTGTGAATAGCCCTGTACCATGTGATCTCTGTGATCATTCACAGATTTCACAAGTAGTAAGCATTGAAGTCAGGAAGTGATCGCTTGTTACCTACTCTTCATGTGATCACTGATTGGCCCGGACCCTGCATTCACTATATCTGCTCTCTCCCCGGACCCTGCATTCACTATATCTGCTCTCCCCCCGGACCCTGCATTCACTATATCAGGTCTCCCCGGTCCCAGCATTCACTATATCCACTCTCCCTAGACCCCGCATTCACTATATCCTCTCTCTCCGGACCCCGCATTCACTATATCCGCTCTTCCCGGACCCCGCATTCACTATATCCGCTCTTCCCGGACCCCGCATTCACTATATCCGCTCTTCCCGGACCCCGCATTCACTATATCCGCTCTGCCCGGACCCCACATTCACTATATCCGCTCTGCCCGGACCCGGCATTCACTATATCCGCTCTCCCCGGACCCGGCATTCACTATATCCGGTCTCCCCGGACCCCGCATTCACTATATCCGCTCTCCCCGGACCCCGCATTCACTATATCAGCTCTCCCCGGACCCCGCATTCACTATATCCGCTCTCCCCGGACCCCGCATTCACTATATCCGCTCTCCCCGGACCCCGCATTCACTATATCCGCTCTCCCCGGACCCCTCATTCACTATATATGCTCTCCCCGGACCCCGCATTCACTATATCCGCTCTCCCCAGACCCCCGCATTCACTATATCCGCTCTGCCCGGATTTTGTATTTTCAGGTAGGGGGCATGTGCCGCCCTACCTGCACTGCCCTACCCGCACCAAAGATCGCCAAGTAACAGTGACGGGAGAGGTCTGTATGTAAACAATACCGATCTCTCCCCTGTCATCTCCACACACTGCTTTGTATTTCTCTGCACAGCATGTCTCCCTAGTAAAACACTCCCCAGCACACAGTTACCCTTTGATCGCCCAGATGTTAACCCCTTCCTGCCCAGTGCCATTAGTACAGTGTCAGTGCTTTTTGTTAGCACTGATCACTGTATTGGTGTCACTGGGGATGTCAGTGGCAGTTAGTAAGTTTCCCCCAGTGTCAGAATGCCCACCGCAGTCCCGCTATAAGTTGCTGATTGCCGCCATTACTTATAATAAAAATCCCAGTATCTATACCATTTGTAAACGCTATAACTTTCATGTAAACCAATTAATACCACTGAAAGAAAGCTCTATTTGTGAGAAGAAAAAAGGACAGAAATTTAATTTGGGTGCGGCGTTGCATGACCGCGCAATTGTCAAAGTAACGTAGCGCTGTATTGCAAAAAAAATGACCTGGTCAGGAAGGGGGAGGGGGGGGGGGTAAATCCTCTGGAGGGGGAGGGGTTAACTTCTGGAAGAGGCAAACAGAAACTGAAGTCGCTCATTCCTGTTCTGTGTCTTTGATGTCAACAGCCACAGCTCTATGTAGTCACTGCCCCCGCCTTCTGTCACATGTCTGAACTCTGCCTAAACTTCTTTACCATCCCACTCCTGGGGCGTGAAATGTAAGGCTTTCGATGACTTAGTTTAATCTGCATCTAATTTGCATTTCTTGGTCCTCCTCCCTTCCCCCCTCCCCTCCCTCCCTCTCTCAATCCCCCCTCCCTCTCCCTATTCCCCTCTCCCCCCCTCTCTCTCTCTCTCTCTCTCTCCCTCTTTCTCTCTCCCCCCATCCCTCTCTCTCTCTCCCCCCTCCCTTTCTCTCTCCCCCATCTCTCCCCCCCCCCCTCCCTCTCTCCTTCCTTTCCTCCTCTCCCCTCCCTACCTCCCTTCCTCTCCCCCCCCCCCCTCCCCCTTCCTCTCTTCTCCCCCCCTCCCTCCCTTCTTCCCCCCCCCTCCCTCCCTTCCTCTCTCCCCCCCTCCCTTCCTCTCTCTCCCCCCCTCCCTCCCTTCCCCTCTCCCCCCCTCCCTCCCTTCCCCTCTCCCCCCCTCCCTTCCTCTCCTCCCCCCTCCCCTCTCTCCATCCCTCCCTCCCCTTCCTCTCTCCCCCCCTCCCTTCCTCTCCCCCCCCTCTCTCCCTCCCTCCCTCTCTCCCCTCCCTCCCTTCCCCTCTCCCCTCCCTCCCTTCCCCTCTCCCCTCCCTTCCCTTCCCCTCTCCCCTCCCTTCCTTCCCCTCCTCCCTCCCTTCCTCCCTCCCTCCCTCCCCTTCCTCCCTCCCTCCCTCCCTTCCTCCCTCCCTCCCTCCCTTCCTCCCTCCCTCCCTCCCTTCCTCCCTCCCTCCCTCCCTTCCTCCCTTCCCTCCCTCCTTTTCCTTTCTTCCCCCCTTCCTCTCTCCCCTCCCTCCCTCCCTTCCTCTCTCCCTCCCTCCCTCCCTTCCTCTCTCCTCCCCTCCCTTCCTCTCTCCCCTCCCTTCCTCTCTCCCTCTCTCCCCCCCTCCCTCCCTCCCCTCTCCCCTCCCTCCCCTCCTCCCTCCCTTCCTCCCCCTCCCTCCCTTCCTCTCCCCCCCCCCTCCCTTCCTCTCTCCCCCCCCTCCCTTCCTCTCTCCCCTCCCTCCCTTCTGCTCTCCCTCCCTTCCTCTCCCCCTCCCTCCCTCCCTCCCTCCCTCCCTTCCTCTCTCCCCTCCCTCCCTTCCTCTCTCCCCTCCCTCCCTTCCTCTATCCCTCTATCCCTTCCCTCCCTCCCTTCCTTCCGATTTAGTAGTGGACCTAATTGTCCATTGCTTATCTGTTCCTGTCCTAATTTATGATGCTGGCCAGCTTTAGGAATGTGCGCACATGAAGAAACTCACACTGACACGTTTGGTCTGTGAAAACTTCTCTCTAATTTATTGAAATGAAACCGTGAGCTTATATATGAAAAATGATGCGAACATCACGTGATAACAGCATAAGCATTATATTAGTCTTTGATTGGTCACTTTACACGAAAACAATCTCCGTCATGGTATAGGTGTGATCTTCTTCAGTCTTATCTTAAAAAGAGAAAAACATTCTTTTGTCTTCCAAATCACACGATGGGAGGGGGTCTGTTCCTGTGAGCAAATATTTCTTAAGCAAGGATTTCTTAAAGTACCACAAAGCCCAGCAGGCAGAAAATATTCACACAACATATATATATTCATGCTAAACATTTATAAATATGTGGAAAGAAATAGTATTAAAGTTATAAAAAGTAAATATGTAAAAAGATGTGTATAAAAAAAGTGTATATATATATATTCAATAGGAAACGAAATAGGCATTTTACCAAATCCATCACACTTCCCCCCTTCCTTCCTCTCTCCCCTGCCTCCCTCCTTTCCCTCCCCCCCCCCCCCCCTCCTTCCCTTCCTCTCTCCCCTCCCTCTCCTCCTTCCCCCTTCCTCTTTCCCCTCTTTCCCTTTCCCTTCCCCTCTCCCCTCCCTCCCTTCCCCCTCTCCCTCTCCCCTTCCCCTCTCCCTCCCTCCCCTCCCTCTCTCCCCCCCTCCCCCCCCCCCCCCCCCCCTCCCCCCTCCTCTCTCTCCCCTCCCTCCCCCCCCTCTCCCCCCTCCTCCCTCTCTCTCTCCCTCCTCCCTCTCCTCCCTCCTCTCACTCCCTCTCTTCCGTCCTTCCTCCCTTCCTTCCGTCCTTCCTTCCTTCGTTCGTCCTTCCTTCCTCCCTCCCTTCCGTCCTCCCTCTCCCTCCCTCTCTCTTTCTCTCCCTCCCCCCTCCCTCTCCTCTCTCTCCCTTCTCCCCCTCATCAGAAAGCCAATGAAATCATTACATAAAACCTTCCTGTTTTTATTACATACCTTATTTTAGACCTAGCAACGTCATCCCTAGGCCTCTATGCTTCTTTATGCAATGTGAGCAGACCATGGCTGCAGAGAGAGGGTGCTGTACATAGATTCCTGAAAACTCCCAAGAGCCCTCAGCCCTGATGTAAGTAGTGGGCTGGTGCTTGGGAGGAGTTATGCAAATAAAAATGCCTTGATGGGTGGATGTCAGTTTGGAGGAGTGGGCGTTCCTAGGTCATGTGACGCCCATCCTCCATGATTAAATAAACTAAGATCCAAAGAATGGAAGGGACGGTCAATAAGCAGTCAGGCTGGGGGGGGGGGGAAAGGGGTAGGTGATGCCGGACGTCCTGCAGCTCAGGAAATGAGGCGGGGTCCTATCTGACTTGCTGAAGCTTCCAACGCACACTGTGGGAGGCTCACAGTGTGCAGTGAATGTAGAGTGAGCCGTATCAGTCCAGGAGGACCCATGCAGGACTGGAGGGAAGGCCGGAGGTGGGCATTAATGTATATTCCTGATTTCTTCCCACAGACGGCTCCCCACACAGCGTCGGCGCGTCTGGGGACGACAGTTCAGAGGACACCATTGTTAAAATCAGTCTAGACAACGTCCAGGAAGCATCGGAACCCAAAGATGTTGATCGAACGATCTGCCGCAACGGCAAGAAAATCACCTTCACCTGCTTGGACTGCGGGAGGAGTTTTTTGCGTCCTCGGAGCAGCTCAAATCGCACCACAAAGTCCACACGGGAGAGGCGCCCTTCTCCTGCATGGCTTGCGGCAGCTCCTTTGGCAGCTCAGAGGAGCTCGGAGAGCACGTCGCGGTCCACACTTCCGAAAAACTCTTCGCCTGCTCGCAGTGCGGCAAGTGCTTCACCATCAAGGCCAATCTGATCGCCCACCGCCGGGTGCACACGGGCGACAAGCCCTTCTCCTGCGCCGAATGTGGCCGGCGCTTTGCCCTCAGGTCCTCTCTGGAGACGCACCTTCCCGCACATGCCATAGAAAAGCCCTACCCTTGCGCGTTGTGCGGGAAGTGCTTCACCACCAGCGGCCGCCTCGCCGTTCACCAGACGACCCACACGGGGGATAAGACCTACGAGTGCGAGGACTGCGGCAAAATTTTCACCACAAGCAGCAGCATGAACCGGCACCGGAGGACGCACACGGGGGAGAAACCATATTCCTGCATGGTGTGCGGAAAATGTTTTAACCGTGAGACCAACCTCTACCGACACCAGATGATCCACACAAGATGAGGACCTTTCCACAAAAAACTATAGCAGGGGTCTCCAAACTTTCCAAGCAAAGGGCCAGTTTACTGTTGTTCGGGGTTCAGGGGGGGCCAGACTGTGGCCGGTGGAGGGTGGAAAATGACTGGCATTACATCTGGCCCCTGGGCCGCAGTTTGGAGACCACTGCACCATCATTGGTTTTAATGGGAGGAATAGTACCCTATTGTTTTTGAAGTGAAGAATAGTACCCCATTGATTGTGTCAGTAGGGGAAATGGCACCCCATCATTGGTATCAGTTGGTGGAATATGCCCTAAGGGCTAGATAAGGGCAAGCAAAGGGCCACATCTGGCCACCACTGCACTGTCATTGGTTTTAATGGGAGGATTAGTACCCCATTGTTTTTGAAGAGAAGAATAGTACCCCATTGATTGTGTCAGTAGGGGGAATGGCACCCCATCATTGGTGTCAGTTGGTGGAATGTGCCCTAAGGGCTAGATAAGGGCAAATAAAGGGCCACATCTGGCCACCACTGCACCATCATTGGTTTTAATGGGAGGAATAGTACTCCATTGTTTTTGAAGAGAAGAATAGTGCCCAATTGATTGTGTTAGTAGCGGGAATGGCGCCGCATCATGGTGTCAGTTGGTAGAATGTGCCCCAAGGGCTAGATAAGGGGAAACAAAGGGCCACATCTGGCCTACGGGCTGCAGTTTGGAGACCACTGCACCATCATTGGTTTTAATGGGAGGAATAGTACCCCATTGTTTTTGAAGAGAAGAATGGTACCCCATTGATTGTGTCAGTAGCGGGAATGGCGCCCCATCATTGGTGTCAGTTGGTGGAATGTGCCCCAAGGGCTAGATTAGGGCAAGCAAAGGGCCACATCCGGCCCCCAGGCCGCAGTTTGGAGACCACTGCACCATCATTGGTTTTAATGGGAGGAATAGTACCCCATTGTTTTTGAAGAGAAGAATAGTACCCCAATGATTGTGTCAGTAGGGGGAATGGCGCCCCATCATTGGTGTCAGTTGGTGGAATGTGCCCAAAGGGCTAGAAAAGGGCAAGCAAAGGGCCACATCTGGGCCCCAGTTTGGAGACCACTGATCTATAGGACCAGTCTGGTGGAAGCTGATATTTTGGTCATGGATCCTGGTGAGTCACAATTTTTTTAAAATACCCCTGGGAACTCCAGAACTGAGATCTCCGTACCTCCATAGCCACAACAAAGGTGTCTTTTCTTTCTCATCCACAGGAATTCAGATACTGTCGGGTTATACTGCCATCTACAAGAGGATTGGAAAAAAAAAGTCGACCCATTTATTACCTTCATCCACAGTTCTATCTGGTTGTTTCCAGTCTGGGGCTAATGTCTGACTTCCATTTCTTGCCTACCCTTCAGGGATAGCCAGCCCTGCACCCTAACCCCTCCATAAGACTGTCTTCCATAAGTCTTGACCATCAGGTTGATTACCATCTCGGTCTTGACCATCAGGTTGATTACCATCTCAGTCTTGACCATCAGCTTGATTCTCTGTGTCCCCCTCCTGGTTGGCTTGGCAGGTGTCCTCTGTTGGTGTAGGGTTCGACCTCATGCTGTATCAGGTTTGGGTTTTGTTATTTCAGGAAGCTTCTGAGCAGCAGACAGTCCCTGGTTGTTTTTTTTGTGATTGTTGCCTGCCCCTCAGTTGGACTGCTTTGGGATGTCCCAGAAGTATCTGCTTTCCTTTGTCCCTCCAATGGGCAAAAAAAGAAAATGGAATTTTTGTACTCGTAAAATCCTTTTTGTGGGGTCCATTGAGTCCACTGAAGATCCCTTTCCACCAGGACCCACTTGTGTGTGTTTATGATCATGGTACTACTTGCTAGAAATCTGAGGCATGCTGGGAGGAGGAGGAGTTATTCTGGACTAGCCTTCAACTTTTTTGTTTGCCAGTGTCCAATCCTTTAGGCAGCAACATAACCCAACAGTATCAGAATTCCTGTTTCCCTCAATGTACTCAAAAACAAAGGCTTTAAGGTGAGTAGGAAAATTCCATTATTTTAGCTATAGAGATCCTGATGGGTCATGATTTTTTGAAATATCTCTTTGGGACTCCAGAAGTACCTGTGTTCTCAGCCCCACTCACATATCATAGCCATAACGCAGGTACGTTGATGTCTTTTTTTTTTTTTTTTTTTTTTGCATTCCTCGGTCCGGATTGTCTTCCTGTCAGAGTTGCAAAGCCAACTGCTGATTCGGTCTACCAGGCTCCACCAAAAGCTGAAATTCCAATTTTTTCGGGACTGACCTGTTTTTAATATGAACATTTTCTCCATAGCTTCTATGGTACTTGGCCATTTGAAGGCCCTCGATTGATGGAAAAAAAAAAATCAAAACTATCTGTCGTTAGACACTTTTTATTATACAGCATGTACCACTGGATGTAGTGTATTTTACTGCATTTTTTTTTTTACCTCCATCTGCTCACTTTTTAATAAAAGAAAAATAGAACCGTTTCACAATTACTGTGAATTTCCATAAAAACTCGGCTCTCCTGCCCAACAGCTGAACTCTCAGGCCGTCTCCAATGAAGAGAAAAGAGGTGAACAGCAAGAGGGAACGACACCCCATGTGATCTGTTGTCTCTTGGTAATTATCAATAGTTTTGTTCAGGAAGTACGGCTCCACGCATGTGGGGCGATTTGGGAACGCTGGTAACGTTAGCTGTGTAAAGTCACGTTAAAAACGCGTGTTTTTTTCAGCTTTTTTTAGCGTTTTTGCATTAGCGTTTTATCGCGTTTAGCTGCGTTTTCCCGCGGTTTGCATTTTTTATAGTTTTTTTCTTACAAAAAAAATTAATTTTTTTTGGTCAAAAAACATCCAAGAATGCCAGTTTGCGGCGTTTTGCAGCGTTAGAGCTTTAATACAGCGTAAAAAACTCCTCTGGAAACCCACTAATCCTGGGTTTTTTTTTTCCAGCCAAAAAATGTCCCTGCCAAAAAAAAACGTTGATTACGTTTATGTATGCATGGACTCATAGGATTAGAGGTGTATTTACCACAAGGCAAACAAGGCATTTGCCTAGGGCGCCATTTTTCAGGGGGGCAGCAGTGTTCCCCGGAAGAAGGGATGAAAGAAGGGACACGTGGCATGGGGACCAGGTGAGATCCGAGAGAGGTTGCGGGCTGCTTGATGGTGCATGGAGAGCCCGACTCTCGTTCCAGGGCATGTTCAGGGCTATGAACAGTGGCGTATTTTAGGCTTTGTGCTGCCCTAGGCAACACAAAAATTGACTCCTCCCTACCCCCCCCCCCCCCCCCAGAGAGACCCTGACACCGACCAACACCTCCCCCACGTGACAATGACCAACATCACCTCAGCACCCCCACCTGAGAGAGCCTTCCACTATCACCACCCCCCCCCCCCCCCATACACTGACAACCCTCACCTTCACAGATCTGGACATCCCCGGGTACAAGAGTCAGGCTCTGCATATACCATCAAGCAGCCTGCAGCCCCTCTCAGATCCCACCTGGTCCCCATGCTGCGTGCGCCCCTTCTACCATCCCTTCTTTCGGGGGGGCGGCGCTGCCCTCTGAAAGATACCGCTGCCCCCTTGGAAGATGACCAACAACACCTCAGCACCTCCACCCCCACCTGAGAGAGCCTTCCACTACCACCACCCCCCCCATACAATGACAACCCTCACCTTCACAGAACTGGACATCCCTGGGAACAAGAGTCAGGCTCTGCATACACCATCAAGCAGCCCGCAGTCCCTCTCAGATCCCACCTGTTCCCCATGCTGCATGTGTCTCTTCTATCATTCCTTATTTTGGGGGGATGCGCTGCCCCCCCTGAAAGATGCTGCTTCCCCCTTGGAAAATGCCGCCCTAGGCGAATGCCTTGTTAATACACCCCTGGCTGTGAAGGTGAGTGTCTTTTCTCTCTTCTGCTGTGGGGGTGTATTAGTGGAAGGCTTTCTTGGGGGTGGGCAGGGGTGTTGTTGGTCAATGTTAGGCTCTCTCCGTGGGAACTCCCCTGATTTTCGTGTTGCTAGGGCAGCACAAAACCTAAATACACCACTGCATAGGATAACATGCTGGGGGGTTTACTGGCTGTAGAAAAAACCCGTCAAAAGCCAAAAACAGCTGCTGTAAAAACGTCCCATGTGCGTGAGGACTTACAGTACTGCATTTTAAAGAGAAAGCCCGGTTGTATTTGGTCAGTTTTGTCAATCATTTAATGCCTACATGTTTGTAAATTTCTTTGATATCCGTTTTATATACTCTGTATTCTACCAATAAACGTTCAATGCAGGGTGCACTCATAACACCGGATTACTAGAGAACTGCAGAAGCTGTTTGCTTTCCAACTGTCTCTTTCTAATTGAAAGTCTGTATAGAGTCAAAGGGGGGGGGGGGAGCCACTGATCAGCCTTTCATGTAAACTGAACTTCAGGTATTGAGATTTATATCTTTTAAAAAATGTTTTTTTTTTTTTTTTTTTACTGTATGCACTGTAAAGTACACAACAAAAAAAAAAAGAAGGCTCTGAAGAAAGCAGGAGGATCAAGAACCTCGGACGTATTGATTTCTCCACCCCAGTCCCTAAGAGCTGTCACAGCATGTCAACTGGAACATTCTTCTCACTCAATGAATACTTCACCGGGGGTCAACTGGAACATTCTTCCGACTCAGTGAACACTTCATGAGCCGGGGGTCAACTGGAACATTCTTCCCACTCAGTGAACACTTCACAGGGGGTCAACTGGAACATTCTTCCCACTCCGTGAACACTTCACGAGCCGGGGGTCAGCTGGGACATTCTTCCCACTCAGTGAACATTTCACGAGCCGGGGGTCAGCTGGAACATTTTCCCACTCAGTGAACACTTCATGAGCCTGTAGCAGCAGTAGTAGAACCCACAAATCTAATCTGGAAACACATTTCTGGTGTTGCGTGTGGAGGCGTGGCATTTCTGATGTTGACGGTACTAAAGGCATTGACCAGAGGATTCCATTCAGTAATAGGTCCATACACTTTACCCCTCCTTGCAAAGGGCTGTGTTGGCGGCATGTGCACAAGGCAAGGAGCAAGGGTCAAGCTTAAAGCTGAGAGGCGTTTTAGCTGCCAAAGGGTTTGTAAATCTGGTCAACTTGATCCAGAAAGCACAGCCAGACCTGCACTTTCTGAGATGGACTTTGATCAATACAGTCTGGTGTACGACCCATCCTGGCTGTGACTGGATGAGGGAGCAGCAGAATCTTGGTGAGGTGATCACTCTGCCTTTTCCTCCTATCAGGTAGTTATATGGACAGAACTGTGCACTGAAGGTGAACCAGATTGATTTACTCATGATCCCTCACTCTCCTAGTGTGAGGATATCAAGACTGATGTACAAAGGTTTGGGGCTTATTCAGACCTTGGCGTCCTGTTCTTTTTGAATGGTGCAATAAAATGAAAATGGCCATTCCTGAGCCACGATAAAACAAAAAATGATTTTCCCTAATAAGGTCATCATTCCACTAAAGGGAAAATTTTGGCAAGACGTTGGTTTGAGGCCATATTTGGCCAAACATTTGTGTTTGGAGAGGTCTTATGCATGGTTAGGCTCTAGGTGAGTCAATGGAGTTTGTGGTCTTCTTTTATAAGGCCATCACTACAGTCTGTCATCCCGCTAAAAAGGACATTTTGGCAAGAAGCTGGTTAGAGCCCATATTTAGCCAAACATTTGTGTTTGGAGAGGTCTTATGCATTATTGGGCTCTGGGTGAGTCAGTGGAATTTGTGGTCTTCTTTTATAGGGCCATGAGGTGTGAAGCTGATAAACCTACCAGTATGTTTTTGGAAGAACTTGGGAGTCCTGGAGTAAACTAGTCCCAAAACTTTTATAATGAGCTTCATGTATCTTCTTGGTGGTGGTCATGGGTGATATGGCTCAAGGTCTGGTGGCAAGTGATACTAAAAGGCTAAAACAATGTGCTATTGTTGCATCAGTCGCAGATATGATTTTCCTTAACAAGGTCATCATTCCACTAAGGGGCAGTTTGGCAAGACGCTAGCTAGAGGCCATATTTAGTCAAACATTTGTGTTTTTGGAGTGGTCTTATGCATGGTTGGGATTTAGGTGAGTCAGTGGCAGCTGTAGTCTTTTATGAGGCCGTCACTCCACAGTCTGTCAATCTGCTAAGAAGCAAATTTTGGAAAGATGTTGGTTAGAGGCCATATATACATAATTCTTATTCTTCGTTGCTTGGTCTACAAACTGGCACACCAAAAACACAAGACACACAGGTGGTTAGTAAAACGTCCCCCAGATGTAAGGAGTACCTGCTGCCCAACACTGCTCACTTTCCAACATTTAGCCCAGTAGTCTTTGCGTTGGGGCACTGAATACACTTTCATGTCAAGCAAAAGTGGATGAAGCCTCAAAGCAAATCTCCACTATGGTGTTTTTTTTTAATTCCCTAAATGAATAAACAGGAAAAAACATTTTTATGTAGTCCAACTGGTATATGTATCTTTATCTCTTCAGTGCTCCACAGTCAAGATTAAAATGTTTAAAACACAATTTTCTAAGATGCTTTGAGGACTTGATTTCTGGACTTGATGGCTACTGCCAAGTCTAGCAGTTTCTGCAGTGCAGGAGGGAATGTGCCTTCAGCACCTCACTAATGTTGGGAGGGTTAAGAACTTTAAAACCTTGCAACTTTTTAAACATCTTTTATTCAGTTCGAAAACTTCGGATTTCAGTTGCAGAGACCCACAAAAAAGTGGTGCAGGAATTGGGGCTGATTTGAGGTCTGGTGATGTGATGCAGGAATTGGGACCTATCCAAGGTCTGGTGATACAGGAATTGGGACCGATCCAAGGTCTGGTGTTGCAGGAATTGGGACCAATTTGAGGTCTAATGGTGCAGGAATTCGGGCTGATCTGAGGTCTAATGGTGCAGGAACTGGGCAGATTTTAGGTGTGAAGGTGTAGGAAATGGGGCTGATCTGAGGTGTGAAGGTTCAGGAACTGGGGTTGGTCTGAGGTCTAATGGTGCAGGAACTGGGCTGATTTGAGGTGTGATGGTGTAGGAATTGGGGCTGATCTGAGGTCTAATGGTGCAGGAATTGGGGCTAATCTAAGATGTGAAATTGCAGGAATTGGGACCGATCCGAGGTCTGGTGATGCAGGAATTGGGACCAATCCGAGGTCTGGTGATGCAGGAACTGAGGCTGATCCGAGGTCTGGTGATGCAGGAACTGAGGCTGATCCGAGGTCTGGTGATGCAGGAACTGAGGCTGATCCGAGGTCTGGTGATGCAGGAATTGGGACCAATTTCAGGTCTAATGGTGTAGGAATTTGGGCTGATCTGAGGTCTAATGGTGCAGGAACTGAGCATATTTTAGGTGTGACGGTGTAGGAAATGGGGCTAATCTGAGTTGGAAAGGTTCAGGAATTTGGGCTGGTCTGAGGTCTAATGGTGCGGGAAGCAGAGCTGATCTTAGATGTGAAGGTGCAGGAATTGGGACTGATCTGAGGTCTGGTGATGCAGGAATTAGGGCCAATGTGAGGTCTTGTGATGCAGGAATTGGGACCGATCTGAGGTCTGGTGATGCAGGAATTAGGGCCAATGTGAGGTCTCGTGATGCAGGAATTGGGACCGATCTGAGGTCTGGTGATGCAGGAATTGGGACCAATGTGAGGTCTCGTGATGCAAGAATTGGGGCCAAGCTGAAGTCTACACCGACACACCAATTGTCTAACACTTATGAACTGACCCTTCATGTGCAAAAGGTTTCTGACCCCTGCTTCATCTTATAAAGGTCAAGTAAATTTATGAACAAAGACTCATTCTTTAATCATCACTAAATAACATCATAACAAAATATATCAATCGAAGTGCTAAGGAGGATTGCAGTTCAAAGGCAACATTCAGTTATGAGTGCAGTGCAATCTTAGTACATAGCAGGCGAGTTTGTGATGCATGAGAAGTAATGCAGTGCAACTGATGGAGAAGAAAAGTCTGTGATTGGATGGTGAGTTCTCAATGTACATGCAGTGCATCCTAACAGGTAAACCTGTGATCATACGGTGATGTCACAGCGTGTGGCCTAACTGATGTATCAAAGGTGAACGCAGTGCAATTTGTGTAGCATTATGTCATAGATCGATGTAAAAAGGTTGATTTTAACAACCAAATCGTGCATTGCTAGGAAAAATCTTGCAAGAGCTAGGAGACCGAAAGAGAGCATGGGAGTGAGTTGAAAAGCCTAAACGGTTCTGTGATAGACCTTTTGAAGGTCATGCTCTTCTCCAGACACAGCTGTCCCACAATCTTCTCCTCTGTCCTCCCCAACAAGCTATCAGGAGGGGAAAAAGTCTCAGCAAGAGCAAACCTAAAGGGAAGAGGGTCGTAAAAGAGACATAAAATGACTCAAAGGGTAAACAGTCTGAAGAGGTCCTCGGGAATATGGAACATGGTCAGGTCAATGGAGAAACATTCATTGATGTTCCATAGTGTGTGTAGTTCAATTTATCTGTCCACATGGCATGGGAAACAAGGCAAAAAAATCATGAACAATGAGAAGGGTGGGGCTGGGGGACATCATTGGTGAAGAAATTCTTTAAAATTTAAATTCTGTAGGATTTGGTACTCTGAAGAAGCTCAGTATGGATTGTATTTACCTCAAGATAGTAGAAAACCACCTGTATCCCTATCACCCCCAAATGATATGCAGACTGGTGGGTCTTGTTTGTCCACCAATGGCTGTAGCACAAGTGGTTTATGTTGAAGTGATTTCTCCGAAGGGCCTTGTTTATCTACCGACGGCAAAGTCTGTAACCCAAGTTGTGTGTGCCGAAGTGCCTTCTCTGTTGAAGTCTCAGCAATCTTGTGCGTGCTCTGATGCTTCACAAGAGTCGATCGGTGGGCAAACCTCTGGCCACACTGAAGACAAGGGAAGGGTTTTTCTCCCGTGTGAACTTTTTGGTGCTCCACAAGGTTTGACTTGCGTGCAAAGAACTTGCCACAGAGCGTGCACTCAAAGGGCTTCTCACCTGTGTGAGTCTTCTGGTGTTCCAGGAGGTTAAACTTGTGGCCAAAGTTCTTCCCACAGTCAGAACAGGAGTAAGGCTTCTCTCCCGAATGAACTTTCTGATGCGCGATGACCTTTGTCTTGTGCGTGAAGCACTTGCCACATTCGGCGCAAGGGTACAACATCTCACCCGTGTGGATCCGCTGATGCTCGATGAGGTTTGACCTGTAGGCGAAACACCGGCCGCACTCCGCACAGGTGTAGGGTCTCTCCCCCGTGTGGATGCGTTGGTGACGGGTCATCTTGGACTTCTGGATGAAGCTTTTCCCGCAGTAGGAACAAGAATAAGGCTTTTCCCCAGTATGAATTTTTTGATGGTCTAAAAGGCTGGTCTTGTGCGCAAACCGTCTGCCGCATTCGTCGCAGGAAAACGCTTTCTCGTGCGTGTGCGTTATCTGGTGCGAGAGAAGCTTGGCTCTGTAGTTGAAGGATTTGCCACAGTCCGGACAAGGGAACCGTCCTTCCACTCGGTTAGATGGGGTGGGACTGGAATGGTTGACAGAGTTGCCGCTACACATAGAGGGAGTCGATGGCGGGGCTGGACTGTGGAGGGTCGCAGCAGGAGGATCCTCGTCTTTTATCTCAGCATCTGGAGGGTCTGCAAGAACCGGTGATGGGGATGTAGATACGGTGCGGTACTGGCCATCTGGCGGAAAGAAAAGGAAAGTAGCTTAGGATGTTTTCACCGAACCCACTCATGATAGGGCCCCCCCTTTCATTACGTTTGCCTTGCTCTCTATACTTCTCCTTGCGTCCTCAGGACCCCCCCTTCTGTGCGCTCCCTTCATCCCTCACCCGTCCTTACATTCTATCCATTTCTCTGCCATCTTCACTTTGGCCTTCCCTTTCATCCCATGCTTTTCCTTTTGCACAACCCTTGCATTCCCCCCCTTACCCTTGACTTCTTGTGGATCCCATCCCCCCTCCCTTTTATCCATGTCAATCCTCTTTCCCTTTCATCACGAAAAATGATTAGCTGAAATTCCTGCGCATCTCACCCAATGGATTTTAAAATTAAAAAAAAATCTTTTGTTAGATTTTTGCTTTTATTATTTCGACCCCCAATAATATGTGAAACTATTACCAATAGTGATAGCAAAGGAATCTGAGAGCTCTCTGTATCATCTCTTTCCTATTAGAAAAATTAGTTTTAAAGTGTTACTAAAGCCAGGACCCCGCATTCATTATATCGGCTCTCCCCGGACCCGCGTTCACTATATCGGCTCTCCCCGGACCCCGCGTTCACTATATCGGCTCTCCCCAGCCCCCGCGTTCACTGTATCCGCTCTCCCCGGACCCCGCGGTCACTGTATCCGCTCTCCCCCCGGACCCCGCGGTCACTGTATCCGCTCTCCCCGGACCCCGCGGTCACTGTATCCGCTCTCCCCGGACCCCGCGGTCACTGTATCCGCTCTCCCGGACCCCGCGGTCACTGTATCCGCTCTCCCCGGACCCCGCGGTCACTGTATCCGCTCTCCCCGGACCCCGCGGTCACTGTATCCGCTCTCCCCGGACCCCGCGGTCACTGTATCCGCTCTCCCCGGATCCCGCGGTCACTGTATCCGCTCTCCCCGGACCCCGCGGTCACTGTATCCGCTCTCCCCGGACCCCGCGGTCACTGTATCCGCTCTCCCCGGACCCCGCGGTCACTGAATCCGCTCTCCCCGGACCCCGCGGTCACTGAATCCGCTCTCCCCGGACCCCGCGGTCACTGTATCCGCTCTCCCCGGACCCCGCGGTCACTGTATCCGCTCTCCCCAAACCCGGCATTCTCTAGATCCGCTCTCCCCGAACCCCGCATTCTTTAGATCCACTCTCCACAGACCCTGCATTCTCTAGATCCGCTCTCCCGGGGCCCTGTATTCACTATATCGGCTCTCCCTGGACCCCACATTCACTATATCTGGTCTCCCCAGACCCTGCATTATCTCTTCCAGTTTTTATCATCTCTGCCTTTTAGCCCCTTGCCCTCCCTTATCATTCCTCTCTTTTTTATATTCATTCTTCTCATTCTCCTGTCCTTTCTTCATTACACTTCCTTTTTTATTGCTCCTCCACTTTATTCCTCATCCTTCATCCCATTCTACTTTCTTTTCACTGAATTGGCCTTTCACCATTTCCCTTGCCTTTTCCTCCTCTTCGTCTATTATTTGCCCCTCCTCATCGTTCCTCTCTGCACTTTCTCCTCCCTTCCTTTCTCACTATTCTTTATTTTCTCTTGTCATTCTATTACCCTTCCTGCTTACTTTCTCACCATTTCACTTTCTCATTTTTCATCTTGTCATTCCCTTACTTTTCCCACTAACTTTCAAACCATTTCTCTTAAATTACCTTTTGCCCTCACCAGTTTACTTCCTAATTATTCCTCTCTTCCCTTCTTGTCAGTCCCTCGCAGTTCCTGTTCTTCTGCTCCTCCTTTTATAATTTCTTTCCTCATCATTCTTCTTTTCCCTTCTTGTCAGTCCCTCGTCCTTTCCATTCTTCTTCTGCTCCTTCTCGATGATTTCCTTCCTCATCATTCCTCTCTAGCCAGTTCCTCATCCTTCCTCTTTATTCCTCTTTTCCCTTCTTGTCAGTCCCTTGCACTTACCATTGTTCTGTTCCTCATCTATCATTTCCTTCTTCATCATTCCTCTTTTCCTTTCTTTTCAGTTCCTCATCCTTTCTATTCTTCTTCTGCTTCTCCTGTATCATTTCCTTCCTCTTTATTCCTCTTTTCCCTTCTTGTCGGTCCCTAGTCCTTTCCATTCTTCTTTTGCTCCTTCATCGTCATTCCTCTCTTCCCTTCTTGCCAGTTCCTCATGCTTTCCATTCTTCTGTTCCTCCTCCATCATTTCCTTCCTCATCATTCCTCTTTTTCCTTCTCGTCAGTCCCTCATTCTCCCCCTTCTTCTGCTTCTCCACTATCATTTCCTTCCTCATTCTTCTCTTCCCATCTTGTCAGTCCCTCATCCTTCCCATTTTTCTTCTGCTTCTTTATCATTTCCTTCATCATTCTTCTCTTCCCATTATGCTTCTGCTCCTCCTCTATTTTTTCCTTCCTCATCATTCCTCTCTTCCCTTGTCAGTCCCTCGCTCTTCCCATTCTTCTGCTCTATCATTTCCTTCCTCATCATTCCTCTTTTCCCTTCTTGTCAGTCCCTAGTCCTTTCCATTCTTCTTCTGCTCCTTCATCGTCATTCCTCTCTTCCCTTCTTGCCAGTTCCTCATCCTTTCCATTCTTCTGCTTCTCCTCTATCATTTCCTTCCTCTTTATTCCTCTCTTCCCTTCTTGTCAGTCCCTCGCTCTTCCCATTATTCTTCTGCTTCTCCACTATCATTTCCTTCCTCATCATTCCTCTTTTCCCTTCTTGCCAGTTCCTCATCCTTTCCATTCTTCTTCTGCTCCTCCTCTATCATTTCCTTCCTCTTTATTACTCTCTTCCCTTCTTGTCAGTCCCTCGCTCTCTTCCCATCTGCTTCTCCACTATCATTTCCTTCCTCCTCGTTCCTCTTTTTCCTTCTCGTCAGTCCCTCACTCTCCCCATTCTTCTGCTTCTCCACCATCATTTCCTTCCTCATCATTCTTCTCTTCCCTTCTTGCCAGTTCCTCATCCTTTCCATTCTTCTTCTGCTTCTCCACTATCATTTCCTTCCTCATCATTCTTCTCTTCCCTTCTTGTCGGTCCCTCACTCTTCCCATTCTTCTGCTTCTCCACTATCATTTCCTTCCTCATCATTCTTCTCTTCCCATTATTCTTCTGATGCTCCTCTATCATTTCCTTCATCGTCATTCCTCTCTTCCCTTCTTGTCAGTCCCTTGCTCTTCCCATTCTTCTTCTGCTCCTCCTCTATCATTTGCTTCCTCATCATTCCTCTCTTCCCTTCTTGCCAGTTCCTCATCCTTTCCATTCTTCTTCTGCTTCTTCACTATCATTTCCTTCCTCATCATTCTTCTCTTCCTTCTTGTCAGTCCCTCGCTCTTCCCATTATTCTGCTTCTCCACTATCATTTCCTTCCTCATCATTCTTCTCTTCCCATTATTCTTCTGATGCTCCTCTATCATTTCCTTCATCGTCATTCCTCTCTTCCCTTCTTGTCAGTCCCTTGCTCTTCCCATTCTTCTTCTGCTCCTCCTCTATCATTTGCTTCCTCATCATTCCTCTCTTCCCTTCTTGCCAGTTCCTCATCCTTTCCATTCTTCTTCTGCTTCTTCACTATCATTTCCTTCCTCATCATTCTTCTCTTTCCTTCTTGTCAGTCCCTCGCTCTTCCCATTATTCTTCTGCTTCTCCACTATCACTTCCTTCCTCATCATTCCTCTTTTCCCTTCTTGCCAGTTCCTCATCCTTTCCATTCTTCTTCTGCTTCTTCACTATCATTTCCTTCCTCATCATTCTTCTCTTCCCTTCTTGCAGTCCCTCCCTCTTCCCATTATTCTTCTGCTGATCCTCTATTATTTCCTTCATATTTGCTGACTAAGGAGAATCTGGGACTCTTTTCTGGATTTAGTGTTTATTACTCACCTGTGCTGATCTCCACAGGAACTTCCTCCTCTTTGATTTTATGATCAGCTTCCTCCGTATCCTGATCAGCTTCGAGAAACACAATGTTTAGATCCTCCTCCTGAAGGCAAAGTAATGAAAATCAATTCATATTTCACCTACAGTGGGGCAAAAAAGTATTTAGTCAGCCACCAATTGTGCAAGTTCTCCCACTTAAAAAGATGAGAGAGGCCTGTAATTGGCATCATAGGTAGACCTTAACTATGAGAGACAAAATGAGAAAAAAAATCCAGACAATCACATTGGATGATTTGGAAAGAATTTATTTGCAAATTATGGTGGAAAATAAGTATTTGGTCACCTACAAACAAGCAAGATTTCTGGCTCTCACAGACCTGTACCTTCCTCTTTAAGAGGCTCCTCTGTCCTGCACTCATTGCCTGTATCAATGGCACCTGTTTGAACTTGTTATCAGTATAAAAGACACCTGTCCACAACCTCAAACAGTCACACTCCAAACTCCACTATGGTGAAGATCAAAGAGCTGTCGAAGGACACCAGAAACAAAATTGTAGACCTGCACCAGGCTGGGAAGACTGAATCTGCAATAGGCAAGCAGCTTGGTATGAACAATTCATCTGTGGGAGCAATAATTAGAAAATGGAAGACATACAAGACCACTTATAATCTCCCTCAATCTGGGGCTCCACGCAAGATCTCACCCCGTGGGGTCAAAATGATCACAAGAACGGTGAGCAAAAATCCCAGGACCACACGGGGGGGAACTAGTGAATGACCTGCAGAGAGCTGGGACCAACGTAAAAAAATCAGTAACACACTATGCCGCCAGGGACTCAGATCCTGCAGTGCCAGACGTGTCCCCCTGCTTAAGCCAGTACATGTCCGGGCCCATATGAAGTTTGCTAGAGAGCATTTGGATGATCCAGAAGAGGACTGTCATATGGTCAGATGAAACCAAAATAGAACTGTTTGGTAGAAACACAACTTGTCTTGTTTGGAGGAGAGAGAATGCTGAGTTGCATCCAAAGAACACCATACCTACTGTGAAGCATGGGGGTGGCAACATCATGCTTTGGGGCTGTTTCTCCGCAAAGGGACCAGGACGACTGATCCATGTACAGGACAGAATGAATGGGGCCATGTATTGTGAGATTTTGAGTGCAAACCTCCTTCCATCAGCAAGGGCATTGAAGATGAAACGTGGCTGGGTCTTCCAACATGACAATGATCCCAAACATACCGCCCGGGCAACGAAGGAGTGGCTTCGTAAGAAGCATTTCAAGGTCTTGGAGTGGCCTAGCCAGTCTCCAGATCTCAACCCCATAGAAAACCTTTGGAGGGAGTTGAAAGTCCATGTTGCCCAGGGACAGCCCCAAAACATCACTGCTCTAGAGGAGATCTGCATGGAGGAATGGGCCAACATACCAGCAACAGTGTGTGCAACCTTGTGAAGACTTACAGGAAACGTTTGACCTCTGTCATTGCCAACAAAGGATATATAACAAAGTATTGAGATGAACTTTTGATATTGACCGAATACTTATTTTCCACCATAATTTGCAAATAAATTCTTTCCAAATCAGCCAATGTGATTGTCTGGATTTTTTTCTCATTTTGTCTCTCATAGTTGAGGTCTACCTATGATGCCAATTACAGGCCTCTCTCATCTTTTTAAGTGGGAGAACTTGCACAATTGGTGGCTGACTAAATACTTTTTTGCCCCACTGTAGATAGATGAGGAACTGATGGAACCCAATGCGTTTCTATTACCTGATACTCATCGGAGGTGTTATGATCTTCCTGAGAGATCTCATGATGTTCCTGTGTGGAATCCCAGGAACATAGAGGACTTGGACATCTCTCTGGGGTATTTCTGTTGCTAGATCCATCTGTAGGAAACACACACACTGACTGAATACATTGTTTCTATGTCTTTATATCAGAGGATGTGTGTATCTAGGTGGATCCTCAATACAAGAAATTAAAGTCTCCTCTTACCCGGTGATGTGAGGGGCGGCCGGTCCTCCATCATGACGTCCTTGTAGAGATCCTTGTGTCCTTCTAAATACTCCCACTCCTCCATGGAGAAATAGACAGTGACATCCTGACACCTTATAGAAACCTGACACACACAATGATACAGTCACCATCCAGACACATCCCTTGTCTGTTACTGGAGAATGTCCCAGAATTCCCGGCACCGCTCACCTCTCCTGTCAGTAGCTCAATGATCTCATTGGTGACCTCCAGAATTTTCTTGTGATTGGTTCTCTCAGGTGTCAGGGAGGGAGGCTGGGCATCACCAGATTTATTTATGGGTCCATAATTCTATATAATACAATGAAACAAAAGAAATATTACACAGAAGCATGGCCAACTATCTCAGAATCCTCCTCACCTCTCCAGTCAGGTCTGTGTTCTATTAATAGAGATAAGAGTGATGTCATGTGACCTCCCAGAATCCTCACCTCTCCAGTCAGTTCTGTGTTCTATTATTAGAGATGAGTAATGTCATGTGATCTCCTAGAATCCTCCTCACCTCTCCGGTCAGGTCTGTTTTATTAATAGAAATAAGTGATGTCATGTGACCTCCCAGAATCCTTTCTACATCTCTGGTCAGGTCTGTGTTCTATTAATAGAAATAAGAATGATGTCATGCGACCTCCCAGAATCCTCCTCACCTCTCCGGTCAGGTCTGTGTTCTGTTAATAGAGATGAGTGATGTCATGTGACCTCCCAGAATCCTCCTCACCTCTCCGGTCAGATTTGTGTTCTAATAATAGAGATAAAAATGATGTCATGTGACCTCCCAAAATCCTCCTCACCTCTCCGGTCAGGTCTGTGTTTTAATAATAGAGATGAGAGTAATGTCATGTGACCTCCCAGAATCCTCCTCACGTCTCCGGTCAGGTCTGTGTTTTATTAATAGAGATGAGAGTGATGTCATGTGACCTTACAGAATCCTCCTCACATCTCAGGTCAGGTCTGTGTTTTATTAACCTCCCTGGCGGTATTCCCGAGTGTAGCTCGGGGTAAAGTTTCAGTACCAAAAGCGGTAACCCCGAGCTACACTCGGGAATACCATGCGGTGCTGCTCCGGCATCTGTTCTTCACTTACCTTGTCCTGCGCTCCCGCGATGTCCCCCCTGCAGTGTCCCCGGCAATGTAATCCAGCGGATGCCGGCATCTGTCATCTGGGTTCCGCCCCCTGCGAGCGTTGGGACGTACGGGGGACGGAACTGGCGGGAAATTTGAAAATGACAAAAAGTGACATTCACTAAATACACTAAAATCACATAGTATAACATTACTGTATCAAACCATTTCACATACATTTTGTCCCGAGTGCTTTGTCCTGTGCTCTGCCTGCATTTTTACTGTTCCTTCTGCCTGGAAACTGAGAAACGTCCATGTCATCCAAAAAGTGTCCCTTTAGGTCAAAAGCGGTTTTAGACCAGCTAGAGAACAGCGATAGTAAATCAGAACCACTTGCAGAATTGAGTGATAATGATTCGTGGGGAAATTCGTCATCAGACACTGAAAACGATTTTCCGACTTTGCTCAGTGATGTGCGAATATTTCAAATTTCAGTGTTTTTGGTTTGATTATATTATTGAATTAAATTTATTATTATATTATTTTTTATGATTATTTATTAAATTATAATTTATGATTTCGTGTTTCAAATTTTATCATACTCGGGATGTGTACTAGACTCTTGTTTGGACAGATTTCAGTGAGTTATTCCTAAACATTACAGGCCTACAATAAAAAAAACATATTTCCATGCAAAAAAATGTACCGCTTTGAGCACAGAAATATGGACATAATCAGACCGCTAGGGAGGTTAATAGAGATGAATGATGTCATGTGACCTCCCAGAATCCTCCTCACCTCTCCAGTCAGGTCTGTGTTCTAGTAATAGAGATAAGAGTGATATCATGTGACCTCCCAGAATCCTCCTCACCTGTCCGGTCAGCAGGTAGAGGATCTTCAAGGTGAGTTTAATTATTCTCTTTTTTATGCTTCTCTTGTCCTCGTCCATACTGCAGGCTCATGTGCTGATGGTGGAATTCTGGGGAAGGAAGTAGTTTGTAATATTAATGTTTGGTTCAGACAAACCTTCCGCCAACCCTTTCCTTGATCCCACTGCCTGGACCCCAGCAAACTCATTCTGGCCAAACATTACAATTTTCTTATTCAATCACCTTTAGATTTACCATCAACTACGTAGTGCAAGAGCCTGTCTGATTGCTTACAAATTGAAAGTGTTTAGGTTTGACCTCAAATTTTTTGGTAAATCTAAAGGAAAATTGTATACTGTATGGACAGCCTAACTGTATCTCATGAATAATGCGAAGCACTTTCCCTAACATACAGATGGCCACTACAGGGCATGCTTACAGTTCTCTGAAATAAAACCCCAATATGGATCAGCAAGAATTTAAAAGTGTGAAATCATAAATTCCGTTCATATTTATACGTGCAATAAAAACTCAATACGGATCATAGTTACATAGTTAGTTTTTCTGGCTGAAAAAAGACCAGTCCATCCAGTTCAACCATAAAAAAAAAACCCAGCAAAGCATGATCCAATTTGCTCCTGCAGGGAAAAATTCCTTCCTGATCCCCCGAGAGGCAATCGGATATTCCCTGGATCAACTTTACCTATAAATGTTATATCCAGTTATATTCTGTGTATCCAAGAAAGAATCCAGGACTTTCCTACAGCAATCGACTGAGATGGCCACAACCAACTCTTGAGGGAATCTATTCCACATTCTCACAGCTCTCACTGTGAAGAAACCTTTCCGTGGAGATTAAATCTCTTTTCCCCCCAGACGTAAAGAGCGCCCCCTTGTCCTCTGTGATGACCTCAGGGGGAATAACTCTACACCGAGTTCACTATATGAACCACTGATGTATTATACATGGAGATCATATCCCCCCTTATGTATTATACATGGAGATCATATCCCCCCCTTATGTATTATACATGGTGATCATATCCCCCCTTATGTATTATACATGGAGATCATATCCCCCCCTTATGTATTATACATGGTGATCATATCCCCCCTTATGTATTATATATGGTGATCATATCCCCCCCTTATGTATTATACATGGTGATCATATCCCCCCCCTTATGTATTATACATGGAGATCATATCCCCCCCTTATGTATTATACATGGAGATCATATCCCCCCCTTATGTATTATACATGGAGATCATATCCCCCCCCCCCCCCCTTATGTATTATACATGGAGATCATATCCCCCTTATGTGTTATAAATGGAGATCATATCCCCCCCCCTTATGTGTTATACATGGAGATCATACCCCCCCCCCCCCCCTTATGTATAATACATGGAGATCATACCCCCCCCCTTATGTATTATACATGGAGATCATACCCCCCTTATGTATTATACATGGAGATCATACCCCCCTTATGTATTATACATGGAGATCATATCCCCCCCCTTATGTATTATACATGGGGATCATATCCCCGCCCTTATGTATTATACATGGGATCATATCCACGCCCTTATGTATTATACATGGAGATCATATCCCCCCCCTTATGTATTATACATGGAGATCATATCCCCCCCCTTATGTATTATACATGGAGATCATATCCCCCCCCTTATGTATTATACATGGAGATCATATCCCCCCCCTTATGTATTATACATGGAGATCATATCCCCCTTATGTATTATACATGGGGATCATATCCCCGCCCTTATGTATTATACATGGAGATCATATCCCCCCTTATGTATTATACACGGAGATCATGTCCCCCCTTATGTATTATACACAGAGATCATACCCCCCTTATGTATTATACATGGTGATCATATCCCCCCTTATGTATTATACATGGTGATCATATCCCCCTTATGTATTATACATGGAGATCATATCCCCCTTATGTATTATACATGGAGATCATATCCCCCCTTATGTATTATACATGGAGATCATATCCCCCCTTATGTATTATACATGGAGATCATATCCCCCCTTATGTATTATACATGGAGATCATATCCCCCCCTTATGTATTATACATGGAGATCATATCCCCTCCTATGTATTATACATGGAGATCATATCCCCTCCTATGTATTATACATGGAGATCATATCCCCTCCTATGTATTATACATGGTGATCATATCCCCCCTTATGTATTATACATGGTGATCATATCCCCCCTTATATATTATACATGGAGATCATATCCCCCCTTAATCTCCCCTTCTCAAGAGAGAATACATTCAGTTCCTCTAATATTTCCTCATAGCTGATCTCCTCCATGCCTCTTAGCAGTTTGGTTGCCCTTCTCTGTACTTTCTCCAGTTCCCCAATGTTCTTTTTGTGAATTGGAGGCCAAAACTGAACTGCATATTCCAGATGAGGTGTTACTAATGATTTGTACTGGGAGGGGGGGGGGGGTGATATCTCTCTCTCTGGAGTCCATACCTCTCCTAATACAAGAGAGGATTTTGCTCACATTAGAAACTGCAGCTTGTCATTATTAAGCTTGTGATCTACCAGAACCCCCAGAGCATTCTCCACCATTGACCCCCCAAGATCCTTCTCCACCATTGACCTCCCCAGATCCTTCTTCATCATTGACCTCCCCAGATCCTTCTCCACCATTGACCCCCAGATCCTTCTCTCCACCATTGACCCCCACCCCCCCCCCAGATCCTTCTCCACCATTGATACCCCCCAGTTGTACCCCCCCTAGTATGTATGATGCATGCATATTCTTAACCCCCAAGTACATAACCTTACATTTATCAACATTACACCTCATTGGCCCCAAAGTCCCCCAATTACACAGAGCACTGAGGTCGGCTTGT